ATATATATATATATATATATATATATATATATATATATATATATATACATACAACCCTCTAAAACATCAATACACACAGTTAATCGACCTATAGATGAGGTGCAATGGTACAAACGTCAATAAAACCCTGTCATCTGTACACCAGTAGCATCACTTGCTTTCGTTGCTTTCTTGCTTAATGAGTGTTTTCAGAAATGTGTAAAAGTTGCAATCTAATGGCTTAGGGTTGGCAGTGTATCTGTGTCTTTGAGACACTCCACTCTGCCGGACCAACAGTTATAAAGTTACGTGTTGTGACTTTTGTAGTAAGTTGGTCCTTCTTGAAATAATAACCAGCTCAACAGGAGAAGAGTGTCAGTGCTTTAAACACTTATGTCCTGCCCTGTGTAAAGTGCCAAGTAAAAACTTGGATGATACGTATGGTCTGAATATGTGTCTGTGATCTACACCTGGTGGTACCAAGAATGAATGCTATGTGTCACGATATAGATGTGTGTTTATGAGTGTGAGTGAGTGGGTGTGTGTTAGTTTAGATAAAACAGTTAATCCCCAGGCCACCAGAACGCAATATCCTGTCTGCCCGTTTCTCATTTCCTGTCTGACTCTGGTGGAGCGGGAAGCAGCAGGGAGGGGGTGGCGGAGGGACAGCGGAGCCCGTTGCCTCAGAAACAGGAGATACAGCCGGTTGGTTTGAGAAAAGTCTACACCGATCTCCCTATCTAGCTCTCTCTCTCTCTCTCTCTCTGGTGCGACCCCCTATTCTCACTCTTTTTTTCCCGCTCCCTCTCTGCTTTTATTATCTCAGATTTAATAAAGCCGAGGCGAGCAGCTTGTTCTGCCATGAAACATTTATTAGCTGTCTGTTATAAAATTGTTGTGGGGGAGGAAAGATGATGGGGTCTCATCACACATTATGCAAAAACAGTGGCAATATGCCCCCCACTCACCAAACACACACACCCTAAAACACACACAGCAGAGATATACCTCGATAAAAATCAGCCCCTCCTTTTGGCTGTCCCATCCCTAAAGTCTCAGACACCTTGTTTTGACTTTTTCTAAAATTGCGTTGACCCTGCTGTTCATTAACGAGACCTCTCATGTGTTCTTTTACTAATATCAGTAATTAATTTGTTCTTTCAAAAGACAAAGAGCATCATGACAAAGACAAAAAAAAACTTTACCCACTTTAACAAATCTGACCTACCTCTAACCATCTGTTGAGCTGCAGGTGGAGTAAATATTGCCCATGAGCATGTTATTGCTTTAATATACAAAAGTATGCATGTAATGTGTAATACTGTATGTTAAGTCTGACTTCTTTCTCAAGACCTGGCTATCCTGATCTGTCAAAAGCAGCCATCGCTCACCTAAAAGCAAGCTTAAATAATTAAAATGCAATTGGATAATATTGGTGTATGGCTTTTAAATACATTTTGTGGGCAGAAAGGCTTTGTTCTTTTCCAAACATCCCTTTAACCACAGTTTGTATCTTTATGGCACATTTCTAGCTCATCAATTAAATATATAAGACAGCCCAGACTTTGTTTCACACAACACACACTAATTTTGTTATTGCTGCCTACCACAGTTTATATAACAGATCATTTTCAAACGTATTTTCAATGTTTAAAGAACAATAGGAATTTAAAAAAGGTGTTTGTTTCTTGATTGCTCCTTTAATTGGACTGAAAAAAACCATTACATATTTATTTGTAAAAATCATTTGCCAGCATCACAGTCTCAGATCTGTAATCTCGGAATAGTTAGAGTTTGGCAATTAGCACCGCACTCAATCAGCCTTCCAACCACCTCCTCTCATTTTCCTCCAGAGACACAGAGGCACTTAGCAAGGTGCGGGTGGTGGGGCGATTAAGAGAAAACAAGGGATGAACGGGGAGATAAACTGTTTGGTGTCATCACTGCTATCAATCTCAACAAGAAGGAAATGAGGTTTGGTATAGAGAAATATTATTACAAAGCAGACAGTGATGAATGAGGTAATGGATCGAAAGACATGGAGAGAAATGGTTGCTGGGGTGGAGGTATAGAAGGGAGAAAGGAAAGAAAATATATTTTCTATCCTCAGACTCGGAAGTTGATGCATAAACACGCTGTTTTGGATTTATATATGATATAACTCCGTTAAATAGAAGATGATTCCACAACTGTGGCTGTGGGGTCTTGCTTTCCCTCTCTACAGTGAAAAGGGTTTAGTAAACTTTGTGTTTATCTGTGTGACCTCCACCATATAGTGCGAGGTATAAAACCTAAGGTTTGGACCATTTTTCACTGAGCTGAAGATGCAGTTATGGGGTTACAAGAATTTCCATAGCTACAGACAGGCAGACTGTTCTCACTGGGCTTAAGATCACTGAGTAGGGAACACAGGTTCAAGATGAATAAGTATTTCAACAACCACAATAGTACTCTAAAATGTCATTCTATAAGGCACAGGACACTGAGGTCCATTTTGTAGCTGCATCGCCATCTGCTTAACAGTTGAGCTGATGAGGTGAGGCATTGTCTTTCAATTAGAATTTAAGCTAAACAAAAAAAATATTAAATCAATTGATATCTTTTATTTTGATTGTTTTTTCAGACGTTTAGGTTTTCCCATTCTACATTTAAACATTGAGAAATGTTGGACATCAAATCAAGAATTTCTGCCTGTGATTTCTTTAATAATTTTTTTAGTCATATTTGTATGAAGTTGCCTATTTTTTCTAAGAAAAAAGAATGCTTTGCACCTGTGCTGAATCCTTAAGGGAATTTATTTGTAGGAAAGGCTTAAAGTGCCTCATGCTGAGCATCTGGTTCATTACAGTATGAAGTTTCACAGAATATCTTAGGGCTTTACATCAATAAATAAATCAACAAGGTTTTTTTGTGTCTTAATCCCTAAATTTCCTTTGTAGTTTAAAACCAACTCATAACTGGTAATGCAGAAATTATATTTTATTTTATTAATATTTCCATGAGAAACAGCAATGAGCTTATTCATTCATCAGGCTTCAGAAAAGAAGAGCTCACAATGTAAGGAACTCGCCATGTTTCACTTTGTGTAAAAACTATTTATCAGGCTCACCCAAGAAAGATAGTGGCTTGATGAAACCTGATGAAACCTTTTTTTTACGTTTCAGGGGAACCAATTTGGAATAATTCTACAAGATATTTATCCTTCCTAAATGTTGAACATCCAAAAGTTGGATTAACTTAAGTCTTGCTTGCAGTTTATTTTAGATAAAACAAGTGGGCATGGGTCATTTATCAACATATGATTGGTTTCTTCAAATGAATCGTCAGTTTTGACACATTTAATTATTTATCCAAACCAAAAAGATTAAATCTGAATATAGGCCCCTGCCACAGTCACCAACCTCCAAAGTGAAAATAGGCAAATGGAAGCAGATGATGAGTGAATAATAATAAATTAACAGAGTTCCCTTTAGTTTATCATGTTAAAGATATTCTAATCCATTTTAATAATGGATTATAAAATTGATCAGACAAAGACTGAATCAAAAATTATATTTGGACGAGCCAGGAATACTGGTTAAGGGAAATTAGGAATTCAGATATAATTAAATATCTTTGAATGAGCTGAAAAAGCTTCATTATGCAGCCTCAACATTAACGCAATGCACCCTCATATACTGCTCTTTTTTCATTCAATTGAATTTTAAACACGAAAATATGGCTCATTGGTGTTTGTATACACATCATGTAGATTATAATAGAATAAAGATTTGACAAAAATTTTGAAAAAAAAAAAAAGTGTGCAAATTACGGTGCGAATTCCACGTAAATTCTTATACATGCTCCAAATTCTTAGACGGGCTTATCTGTTACAGTGCACACACCTGCTCTAGATGGGGGAGTGCGTAGTGTAAGGCGCTGATGGACAGACTGCCGGGAAAACAAGGAGACATTGTTGCTGATCCTCTGAAGGTCACAGGCACTGCTGCGTGCCAAGTCTGGCACCGACTCACACAACAAGGCAACAAGGCATGTGCAATGTATAGGAGCCTAAATCAACACCCCGGTGAATGAGCCGCTCACCACTGATGTGGCTCTGCAATTACAACCGTTGAGCAGGGAAAGCAAATATGCTTTTTCATTCCATCACTGAAAATTAAGCCAGTGCTTCATTGATGCTGTGGTTTTGGCTCCCCCTTTCCCACTCATTTTTTTTTATTTTTTTTATATGAATGTCACACAATGGGGCTTTCATCTCCTTCTCTCTCGCTCCCTCTCCTCCAGATGTCAGGTACAGTGGGAGGGTCTGTGCTGCTGGATGCCGTCTGACACTTTTCAAAACAATGATAACAAGCTGCAGACTTGTTCGTAAGCTGTTCAACCCCGAGAACTCCCACTGCATGCAAACCCACTGACCGCATCTTACAACAACCGACCAAAGAAGATAAAAACATGCTCCGGCCACAAAAGATTAACAAAGAGCTAAATCATCACACACTGAAAGGAAGATTGAGATTCACCAATTTTTGCACATGGCTGAACTGCAGGTATAAGATTATCAATACAAACATATATTATAAATGTTAACACAATGTTTATCATCTTACAAAGTTGAGAGTATGAACTTTGAGGAGACATTACGTATGGTACTCTAAAACAATATCTCTGTGGTTAACAGCTATAGATATGTTATTACACTGACAAGCTATAATTATATGCCTTTTTGCCATATATTTAGTAAGTATTCCTCATGCAGCCAAAATGTGCATGGCCATTCAGATTGTTTACAAAGAACGTCTAAGGGAGTCCTTCTATGATCATTGAGTTGTGGGGCCGGGTCTTTGTTGACTGTGCTTGCTTCCCACAGATGCCATCAGGTTCAATTAAACAAGTACGCCGGTTGTTTGCTGGGTGAACAGCTTAGACTTCTTTGAGCCCTTTATAAATGTTTTTTGAGGGGCATTTCTGTCATGATGCTATAGGGCAGTTTCCATATGGGGGATGTGACCGGTCAGCATGCATGTTTAGCTCGGTCCTAAGTGTCAGAGCAAACTCCATGTGAACGTCAGGTCTCAGGTTTTCAGCATTATTCAGATGAGCTGATTTACACTCTTCACCCTTTCACTGGTTTTAATGTTGTGTTTGATTGGGGGAAAACATATAAAACAAAAACACTTTTACAGTGACAGAATCATTTTATTGGACTGGAACTTAAAATTTTACCTTTGGTTTGGGTTAGGGTTAGGGCTGGGTTAGGGTTGTGTCTAGACATGTAAATGTATTTAAAGCTGGCCAGTGTTTTCCTTTACAGTCTCCTGTTTTAGAAACGTAGGGATTTGAAGATTCATTTTAAACAGGGTGGGAGGACAGAGGTTAGGGCTGTTCTGAATGCTTCACATCATGTAGAGTAGGACATTACAACCACTTATGGAAAAAAAAACATCAATGTTCACCACTGATTATCCCTTTTTCTCTCGCGCACACGTGTACACGTGCACATACGTAAAACATATGTGTGGATTGCTCTTACTTTTCATAGTCGTGCTTGCAGTACAGCAGGCGGTCCCTGCAATAGCAGGTCCCGGTGAGCGCGCTCAAACACACGACGCACTTGACGCAGGTCTCGTGCCAGGAGCGCTCGTTCACGCGCAGCAGGAAGCGATCGGCGATGGGAGACTCGCAGCCAGCACACACCTCTCCCCCTCCTCTGTAGTCTGGGCCTGGGGAGAGGACATCAGCGCGGGATGCGGAGGATGTGAGAAGGCCAGAGCCACATGAGGTCACCGGTCAAGTTTAAAAACAAACAAACAAACAAACAAAAAAACAACAACATATGATTAAGCAAGGACTCCTGAAATTTCCCTGCCATGTGTCCATCTGTTATGATCAGGAGCATTAGTTTAAAGATTAAGCATGTTGCGTCTGAGTGATAACAATGCCCCACTGAGTACAAGGGCAAAACATTGAAGCCACTTAAATGGAATAACTTTATTCATACTTTTTACAAACTTAAATAAATGGATTAAGAATGTTTAAACAGTGGCCCTGCGATGGTCTGGCCTGGTCCTGGGTGTCCCCTGCCTCTCGCCCATTGACTTCTGGGATAGGCTCCCGTCCCCTCGCGTCTCCATTAGGGAATAAGCGGTTCAGAAAAGTGATGGATGGATGGATGTTTACTGTCTCAAGAACACGAATTTAGAGTATCCACCAGAGTGTACCTGAATAGGCTGTCATCTCATATATCATGTTTGTCTTGGTTTTGGATACCTGAAGTCTGGACCATTATGATACGCCGCGTTTAATCAAGCCAAGGAAGGCCACGTTTTTGTTCTCACAGGAATATCAATATTCCCACAGCATTTCTGTTGCCACTTCGATTTGCTCTCATTTTAGGGGACCCATAATAAAGATAGCAAGCACAATCAAACTAGTCTTATAAACAATGAGTTCCTCAAATAAAGAGGCAATAAATGGCACAGGATGTAGTCGTTTTTTACTCTTGTATTCGGTTAAACTTACATGTAGTGCTGTTATAGACATTGTACATAGATTAATAAAAACATGTTAGTTAGTTATCAGGGTTTTAACAGGTCCGAGTACCACACAAACTGATGAGCTGAGACTCACCAAAAGGCGTTGAGGACGGAGGCTGCTGCAGACAGGACTGCTGGTTCTCCTCTGTTTTCATCCCTTCTCTCCTTCCCTCAGTGTGATCGCTGCAGATAAAAAAAAACATACACACACACACACCATCATCTTTGACAGGAACAAAAAACTGCTGAATTTATCTGGAAATAAACTAATTATTCATAAAATTCAGGAAAACGCCAGTAGTCTGTGAAAATGGACACAAGGCAAATTCGTGGGATTTTATTCAGTTAGCTAAATGTTGAAATAGTGATAATTAAAAATGGACAGAAAACATGAAACGATTAGAAATATCAATTCAGACATATTTCGGTGACAATATTAATCCAAAATAAGATCAAAAGGTGATCATCGGCCTTTTTACTACAGTCTCTACATTGACATTGGGGACGTACCAGAAACTGCGTGCGCCTTTTCCATCTTTTGCAAGCTGTAAATTAACTGTACATTTGTGTGATTTCTGGGTTTAAAAATAAGAGCAAAAAATGAACGTTTGAAATGGTTAGAAGCTGAATTTACAGGAAGTACCAGAATTGTATCCATCCCAGTTGGCTTAAAATAAGTTGAACTGCTTGTTAAAGCAAAACAGATTATTGGATATCTTTGATTACGCAATGAATAGACAGAGTGTTTTGTATTATTATTATTATTATTTTTATTATTTTTTCTTTCAGCATAGTTTAGATATCATATTCAGAGTAAATTTGTGTTATTGTGGGACATAACAAACATATAAATTAGGCCTGTTTAGTATTTAGTTTGGGTAAAGTGAACTCCTAACGACACATAGTGTGCACTCCAAATGGAACACAGCTGATATAATACTCTAACATGTTCCCAATAACACCATTTATAGTATTTATTGTACAGAATTTTTTTTCTTTGTTTCTTTTTAATTTTGGGCCATGAAATATTGACTGAAAAAAATGTCCATGAAATAATCTAATAAAAGTACACAAAAGAAATTATGTAAATAGAACTAATCTGATTTGGCATTTTTCCTAAGTGGGTTGAATAAATTGATATATTTGTGTCTTGCACCACAATTCAGTCAGACCTGATGCTGTGATAACGATTACCAAAATAGCAAATAAATAGTTAGATTGTTAAGTTGGAAAAAATGTATGAAAATAACAACAAAAACGAAACACAAAATTTAAAGATTTAGTCTTACTATACACCAGATCGAATAAATTAATCAAATGAATGATTGTGGCCACTTGTCTGTCCTTATTGAAGGCATGTGTAGATGATGTCAATTTTTAAGTTTTAGCTTTATATCATTAGCACATTAATAACACAAAAAGAGAACCGAGAAATTTAATTTTCCTCTTGAAGGCAGTATTACTCCCTGGAGCTGTTAGTATGTCTAACGGTTTAATGGGAAAACTAATAAAAGAAACATTTCTCTCAAAATTGAAGCGGAACGATTCATTCAGAAAAAATATATATAAATAAATACACAAACATAATAAAAAAGAAATGTTGCATTCCGTCTGTTTCTAACTTACAATTAGACGTTTTGTAGCTTTAATAAACTGCTGTTAACTCACAAAACGATTAAGCATAATGCCAATTATTCGCGACTAGAAAATGCCTGTGTGAACCTAGAAACCTGATTAAAAAATAAAAAAGCTTCTCCTCAAACTATATGGTGAAAACAGTTACCAAACTGAAGGTTTCATTGTGATTATTTTTAACAGCAATATCCAGAAAATACCTGCACACCTAAACAACCGCGCGAGACACCTCAAACGAGTGTTTGCAACCTGTTCCTCACAGCTGATGGGCTCCTACCTTGAGGTGAAACACACTCCTCCTGAAATCTCGGTTGGTAACATTAAAAACTGGCGAAACTTTCAGCTGGTAAGAATGAGCGCGCGCGTTGTGGTCCGCCTGTATTTTACACTTCGGAGAGCGTGCTGCGTGCATGTGATAATCCCAGAAGCATGATGACCAAAAACTACCGTCTATTGTCTCCTGTTGTCTCCGGCAGCCGTGCGTGTGCGCTCTGACTGTACAGTGCGTGGAAAAAAGGGGGAAGAGGGAGTATATGGACACTGCAGGAAGGAGGGAGGGAGAAGGTGCGGAAGATGATGAGGGAAGATGAGCGAGAATGCAGTCTATTGATAACTCAGAGGGAGAGCATCCCCAGTTTGAGACGAGGACTTATAAGAATGCATCCGGAAGAGTGAAATAACTTACTTATTGATTTCCTACAAACAGTGAACTAGTAATGGCCTTGATAAAATTCACTATTGTTATGCTTCCTCTATCTTTGAAAGAAAATCAAATGAACAAAGGCAAATAAGGATGGCTACACTTGCATACATCCCAAACACGTTGTGGATGCCAGAAAATCTCGTCTTGCTTCACGTTTCTCTCTGAACTGAGTCAGATGAAGAGGAAAGGCTTTTGTAGCACAAGGAAATGACTTATCTTTAAACACAGCACTGCAGTTAGAAGTTAACGATTTATTACTCCTCCACTATTGTTTCTGAAATGCCCTTCTTGCACATTGAAAGAGCGCCCCCTTGTGTCAAAACCGGATAGGTGCAATCATCTAAAACAACAAAAGAGTGTCAAACTAATCTCCGTTGAAGGCAAATCTTTTGTATACAACAAGATTTCCCTCTGAGAACTAGAAGGTCAAAAAGCACAAACAATAATAAAAAACGTTGTTTTCTAAAAAAAAACAAAAAACAAAACAACAACCCCAAAAACAAACAATATTGGTTACAATTTTTGTACAGGGACTCTTGATGCGTTGGTGCTGGTTTGTGTCTCTTCAGCACCATTGTCCAGCCTCCTGCTGCTTACATTCAAATATCTCCTCTGATCCGTGCTTTCGTTTGCTGTTAAACTGTCTGTTAAACTGTCTGCCAAAGCAGGGACAGTTGTGCCTTAAACATGGGAAAGTCTTTCCGTAACAACTACCCGAATGTAGTAATGGTTTCTGTGCACACAATAGCGGTGTTACCAGTCCTCCAGTGTTTACATGCATCCCAGATTCTGTAAATCTTTCATCTGTACTCAGACAAATAGCTGCTCGTCCTTCCCCGAGTGGCTGCGTCTCAGCTTCAGGCCGGACAGGATCTTTTGGGCTGATGATGTGAGGTTGTACTCAGCAGGAACGGGCTTCGACGGATGAAGAGCGTTGCTTTGTCCAGCGCTCTGTGGGCTATTGTTCGGATTCTCATTCCGCTGTGTTTGCCACCCTGCTGCCACCTCATGAGTGGACTGAACCGCTGTTCCTGACGATGAAGCTGCTCCAGGTGGAGCAAACGTTGAGTCCAGTCCGAGCATGTACTGCGCGACCTCGCGAGGGCTCAGTGGGACGTCCACTTTGCTCTCTGTGATTGTGGTGACCTGTTGGAGGGGCTGAGTGTTGTCAAAGTGGGCGTCTAAGTTTTGCGAAAGTCTCCGCGTCCCTTGCTCTGGAGAAGAGCTGCGGCTGCTGTCCGCGCTGCCCCGGTGGAGGCCTGTGGGAGCTGTCCACTGTCTGGTCGCACAGCCGGGGTTCGAAAGGCAGGTTCCCTGGTTATGATGTCTGTAATACTTCACAGGCTGTCTCGTGAAGCGATAGTGTGTTTGGAATCCTAAATCAGAGGCGGGTTCCACAACCGAGTCCCCCTCAGGATCACCAGCTGTTGCAGCTCTCACAGCCAGGACTGGGACAGGAGAGGGAGAGCAAGCACATGGTTCACAAAGCAAAGAAGTGCAAACACAAGTTACCACTAAACTTTTTTTTTGCATTGTTTCTTTTGTTCTCTTTCTTTATTATGGATGTTACATGGAGGGGCAATTTCCTGTTCAAGCACAACTGGATTTAAAGTTGATTTGAGGGCATTTTGTCACTGCTGCTGAAGCCAAAGCAAAGAGAAAATCAGTATGAGAAAAGCAAGTTAAGCAAGAGCGCAGCAAAACAAAACAAAACAAAAAAAAGGCCATGATGAAATAAAGCTCTTGCTTTTCCTTAGTTTCTTTTCAAAGTTTAAAATGTATAACCCAAATGATGACATTATGAGGTGAAGATCAAATTTAGCTGTTTTTAACTGATTTGTTTTTCCAGGTTCATCTTTTCAAAAGCCTAACCAATAGAAATTAGTTTTACAGAACTACACCCCGCAAAAAGGAAGTCACCAAAAATAGCTTGAGGAAATGCGTACAGCACTGAAAAGACTATTGCAAAAGACTCTGTGACTTTCTACACCCACATAATGTGGTGCTTAAAAAGATACAGAATAACAACAACCTGTTGGAAAGTAGGTAAAAAAATTTGGGAGAGGTATGTAATGCCTTCGAGTTTTCTAACAGGATTAGTTTAATTAAAAGGTGTCCTCAGGCAGCAGAATTGCAAGAGAATAAAGCAAGCTATGACTCATTATATTGGCAAGTTCAAACAGTTTTAATCTAGTATTATGTGAAATATGAACATGTTTATTCTACTAAGAGTGACTGACTTTGCCATATCAGCCTACCTGCTCTCTCATTGGTGTCTGGGCTGAGCTGGTCCACTGCCTCATTGGACGAAGACTTGTCAGATATATAACCCTCGCTTGAGTCTCTCTTGATTGATCGGCTCTGTTGGAATGACACAAGTTGAGGGGTGGTGTACTATAAGTATTAAAAAACCTCATCTAGTCCTGTAGCACTACAGTATGAGATGGAGATTCTTATTGAGGCGATTAGCGCATCATGTCAAAATAAAAAATGTAGAGCTGCAGACTAAGTAGTGTAATCACCCTGATGGATTCTGAGTAATTTGATGGAGCAAATCTATAGTGTCTTTCTGTTTGTAGCAATGGCAGTGCCCAAGCAAAGCTCGAAAGGAAGTAGTTCAGAAAGGATTCAGAGCGAAGCAGAACAGCAGTTGTCCATCTTGTTAATCCTAATGGAATAAGGAGGTTAAGGTGCTAAGGCTTTTAAAAAAACAGATAAGCAGGGCCTCCCTTTACCTGAAGTGAGGCGAGCAACTGTTACTTATCCTTTTTAAACCAAGGTACTTACTTCTAGTGAGCGGGGACGCTCTTTAGAGGAAGTGTCACGTTCCAACTGAGCGTCGACCACTCCGTCTATGGGGCAGGAAGCTCTGGAGGGAGTCTCTGGCAGAGGCGCTGTGGGGACTGGAGGAAGGGGTGTGCTGGGTCTCTGCTCCACCCCAAAAATCTTGTCATGATGAGTGATGAGGAATTCCACGAGCAAAGCCTGGTAGCTGGTCTCCAAAAGGGCAACCATTGACATGTCCATCGACACTAGAGGGCGCAGTAACGTTGGCCCGAACACAATACCCAGATTACTGGAGGACATCTTGTTCTCATAGTTCTCTGAAACTCTGTGGGAATCAACAGACAAAATTAATTCAGTGTGGGGTGTAGAAGTCAAGAAGACATGGTTCGTGTTCCAGAGAGCAATTCATAAACATCTGCCATGAAAAGGACGAGGACAAGTGGCGCTGACAATATGCCACCAAGCTGCATACTCACTTCTGCAGGTGAGACGTCATGTGATGCAAAGTGCTAAAGCAATATGAGGGGAGCTTCTGTAGAAGCTTTTGCAGTCTGTGGATAATTTCCGCTATCTCAGTGGGATCCGGTGATGTTTCCCTTTCACTCATGTGCTGAATGCTCTTTCCCAGTGCGATGAAATCATTGTACAGGTCAAAGGTTAGTAAAGGCTCTGGAAGCTGGAAGACAAATCATTGAAATCATACAGTGAAGTATTTAATGAAAAAAACAATCCATGTTTAAGACACTTAAAGAAACTGGAGTTGTTTTGTTTTTTTCGCTTCTTCACTTTTCATGTGGTGTTTTTAACTTTAAAATTTTAACACTATCTAGTAATATAATAACATTAATTTATCAACAATTCCTTTACCTCCTTGAAGAAGTGCTTGAGGATGGAGGTGATATCGTGTGGTGAGAGGTCAGAGAGGTCCACCTGCTCCTTTTGCGTCTCAAACGCCTGACAGAGCTTCTGAATGCGAGGTTTAGATCCACTCACGCGATACACCCCCTCATAAGACAAAAACAAGAAAGCTTAGGACAGGGATTCAAACTGGTCCGGAAACAGGATTTTTACTTTGGACTCTGTGAGAGGAAACAATACCTGGACAGAGAGAGCTCGACTCTCAATTTCAGACGTGCAGTGCTGCACCACAAAGGGCAGCTCACCTGGCCTCTCTCGGCACAGGACAGAGAGATCCACTCCGAACACTGTGCCCTTCCTGTGCTCACACTCTAGCTGACACACCTCCATACACTTCCTGTGCAGAGCCAGCCCACACTAGACATGTGGCAAGGCAGAACATGTGATATTAAGTATTGTACAGAACCCCTCTCTTGTTCTGTCCATGTTAATTGGAGCCGTATACCCTCCTGATGTGCCCCCTTACCTCCTCACACTCAACCCCGCTGACCACAATGTAGTTTTCACACTGCTTGCATTTAACCATTTTGCTTTTCATTTTTTTGAGTCGGTGTGTTAGTGCAGCTCGAGACAACATTCGAGCTTTTACAGATTGGCCATCAATACATTCTGTAAGGACACGGCAAGAAGGTTTAATAGGAGTGCTGGGTTAGCCAAACAACTTCTGTCATGAATACCATTTAAGGCCTGAAATGAGACAACTCACCCGATTCTGACCCAACATCCCGGTCATCTAGATCATCTGATGACACCGTCAAAGTAGATGCTGTTTTGGGCAACCTCTTGTAACCTTCAGTTATGCATCCACAATGTGCAGAGAAACAGAAATGGGAAAGCATTCATCTCTGGAATGTTTTGACTTGTATAAAAAGAAATAGGGAAATAAAATAGGAACTTACCAGGACTGGACAATGACTCCAAACTACCCCCAAAACTCTCACTGTCACTGTGCCCCACTTTCTCTAAAGGAAGCCAAAAATCACATTAAATTAAAAGAAAGAACTGTTTGTTAAAAGAGTCATGGTATGATATTTTTGGGCCCTTACTTCCATCAATGGACCGTCTGCAAGAAAAGTCTTCGGTCACAAGTGATGAATCCTGCAGTGAGCTGAGGGCACCGCTGGTTTTTCGTTTGTGGCTTTTAGATGAAAGGATTAAGAAATAATTTTCATTAGTAAAACAAATGTGAATCAAGTATATATCATTATTCCTTAATCCTGCTAATCCATTTGGTGGAGCACATTTTTCACTGATTATAGTCGGTCATAGGATATAATAGAGGAAGTGCACTTAACTAAACTAGCTTAAAATAAAGTATATGATGTGTAAATTAAGCTTAAGTTATAACATTTCTTTTAACAAAGTATCACCCCAACTATCTGAGATAAGAAAGCATTTTCCGTTTGTTTGTTGTTGCTCCAAAAAAGGAATATATTATATGTTATTGATCACATGAGCATATTACCATACCATTTGCCTTGAGGAACATAATCCTGGAAGACAAAGGTTTGGGTGGATTGTTCTGGACGACGCCTGCTGAGAATGTAGAGCAGATAAGGCTCTCCAGGCTCCAGGGATCTGCATGTCAACTCCAGGTTGTGATAGCCCAGGGGGACAGGCTCTGTTTGCTGCCGCTGGAAGTAGAACATGTTGACTGTGACCTGAAGAAAAGAGAAATGTGATGTTAAGAGTATAATTCTGACAGCAAATGAATTGTTTAGTTTGACTGAAAAAACAGATGCACTGATTTTTTAAAAACTATTTAATCACATGTATGCATTCATTGTATAAAAGTGTATTTTATTCAAACATACGCATACAGTACTACAGAAATATGCTGAAATTCAACATGAAGTCCTGAACTCATACCAAAGCCTGTGTGGACAAATAATGGCAGGAAAAAGATTTTAGCATTCCTTATTTTCATACTAACCTCCTTTAACACAGTGTCTCCCTGACAGATGAGTTTTCGAGTGTGAGAAATGATCCTTTCTTTGACCCTCTCCAAGTTATCTTGGTGAATCTTGGCCTCACTCACACATTGTCTGTACAGAAGTTCAGCCTCCCCGACCTGCAGGAGACACAGAGAAGACCTGAGAACTGATATACAATCACATGATGTTTTCATGAGGCAAAAATATTGTACATCTGCTAAATCCATGGTTCCTTTATCTTATTTGGAAAACAAAATCACACTCTACCACCTCATATTATAGTGTTTTATTTTTTCAGATGAATTGTATTTTATCTACTTTTTTGTCAGATTATATTAATGCTGTGTATTAACAAGACAAAGACCAGACAAACCTTAGTTTGGGCTTCATCTTTGGACTTCCTCCTCTTGTCTATTGTTTTGATTCCAGCTGTGTCATCCAACGCTTTAGCTGACACTGCCTTAGCCTTTTCAAAGTCATCACAGCGCTGGAAGTACTGCTGTTTAGCCTTTTTAAGAGCATTCACTGCATCATTCTGAAAAAAAAAGCAACCGTAGCGCATAGTCAGGAAAGAAAATCAAACTCTTTTAATTGGACAAAGAATGTCAAATAATTTACATACATGCAACAGCCAATCAATAAAGGGATTCAAATACTTTTGCACAGACAGGCACATAGGTGAGTTGAAATAGAGTGTGTAGAGCATGAACCAGTATGTTAAGATATTCCATTTGCTGTGTGTCAAGTGGAGTCATTTATAGCCACCAAGTGGCACCTGTTTATATTTGACTGTACACTTGCACATACTTTGTGTAAAGAATTTCTTGATTTTGAGTAAATGTGTCTTGCAATAATCCCAAATCAACTTATTTCACTTACCATCCTCCTCTGTTCCCTTGCCCACTGTTCTTTAAACTCCCTGCGCCATTTATCAATTTCATTCCTTTTGGCAGTCAAAGCCTGAATGACAGGGACACGTTAAAATGACGCACAAATATGACTCATTCAAAATTACACATTTCTAATCATATGTGGGTTATTTTTCACCTGGTAACAGCGGTTTTGGATCTTTTCAGAAGTCCTTCTAGACGTCAAGCTGTTCTTGATGTCTTGCTCCAGAGCCATGATGTATATGTACTGTAGTGGCAACATTTCCTGAGCAGAGAAGAGGAATATAAAAAACCAATACAAATTCTGCAAATTAACTGGAATATCTGTAACATATTGTAGCCCATTGTGCTGCTCCCTAAAGTTCTTTGGCATGTGTCCAGTTAGTTAAGCCGTACCTGCTGTGCCATGTTGGCCCTTGCCCCCTCAGCTGTCTTCATCACGTTTTTTGCAAATTCTTGTTCTGTCAACAAAAACAACCTTTTGCTTTCTATCAGCTTACATTAATCACATGATACTTGACAAGACAACAAAAGTGGAAGGGGGCTTTTGATGGTGAAATTGAACCTCTTAAATTACCACGTGTTGATAGATTATTCCAAGTATATTGTCACAGTTGGATGTTTAGGGATTTTTTGGTGAGCTTTAATGGCTCAAATCTGATCTTTACCAAAATTTTCCTTCGGGAGTGAGACCAAAAATCAGTTGTGATCATCTAATTTGTCTGCTGTAACACAGGACTTGAAATTATTAATACAGCTTTATTTTAAGGTTTGCATCAGTCAAACACAGTAAAAAATAAACTATTTTAAGCATTTATGCTTAGAAATGTGGATAACTTCACCCATAAATCTGACCAAAGGACTATTCTGACTAAGGCTTATTATCCACCTTATTCAGTTAAAGACATGAGAAGGCAAAGTGTTGGTCTGCCTCTGTGTGCAGTTAGCTTGAGCACCACCCAGTATTACAAATCAGTTGCTTTTGACTTATCCTCCTTCTTACACAACTAAGTATGACAACTCTGTATTTTGACAACTACCAAAAGACATGTAATCTTTAGATCTCTCTCTAGAAACTGGCACCTGTTCAGGCAGATAGAAGGCTAAGCACTGTCTGTGTAGTCCAAGTGAGCCCCCTCTTCTTTATTACCCTTCTTTTGCCAGCTAATCTTTAATCCTATCTCTATGCATGTGCAGCATGGGGTGACTGCACCACTATTAAAAAGCCTTAGTAGGTAAGATAATGAAAACAGGTCGTAAAAATGAAATATTGCTCCACCACAGTGCCCATCAGTCAAAGATTTCTGAATTATATTATATTCTGAATTATAATACATGATAAATGACAGTGAACATAATAAAATTCACAGTTGCTATTTTCTAAAACTAGCGGCTGTACATCCTTGAGCATCCATCCATTTTTTGTCCAATTTATGGCCATAGAGTCTATCTTAGCTGTCACTGAGGGACAGACAGGGTAACCTCTAGACAGATCACCACTCCACGCTCTACAACTGTTTATTTGAATTTTGAAAACACTCCTTGTATTCCTGCCTCTGTGTACCGTTAATATTTCTAAACACTTCATCAGGATGTCATAATAATTTGCATGTTACCCTTCTATTTCCTTTACTCAGTTGCATGTATACTCACCCAAGCTGATTCGCTTCTCCATCCAGACAAGGAGGTCTTTTGCATAGCGGCACCACATCTTGGTATACTGAAGTGCAGTCTCAACTCCATCCTCACAGCGACAGAGGGCCAAGTCTGCTTCTTGGGCTGTGAGGGAGTACATCGGCATCACTTTAGGCTCTGCACCATCGGAGCTGTGTCCGGTGATAACACTAAGTCCAGAGGGCTAAAGCCAGCAGCCTCTCTGTCATGGAAGAATCAACCTGACCCTGACCCAAACATCAATCTAATTCGAATGTTAGCCCCACGCCTCCAGACTTAATCAGACAAGATAAAGTTGACCAAAAATCCAATAACACGTTATAAGGTGCACAAACCCAAAGCAGGAAACAATGATTGCACATGAAAAGCCATAGCTGCTCCTCAGTGTAAAGATCCAGTGGTCTCAGCAGACTTGATAGTTTTGGCATCTAAATTGAATTGTTTGGATACTGCAGCCTAACAGTTAAAAAAAAAAAGCCCCAAAATTGTCCATAGTTTCCAAGTAAACAAATAGGGATGTGATCCGACAGAGAAGGGTTTCTGTGGACTAAAGACAAACAGTTCTGGCTTGGTAACTTCCCCCCCTCCACCCTCTTCCTCTCTGTCCATGGCCCCACCCCCTCACACCTGTTCAGCCCTGGTCAGCAGCTAGAGAGAGACATGTCACGCTACAGGATCAGACACGGCATCAAGAGCCAGTGGGCAGGGCAGTATCAGAAGCCATGTCACAATGTACAGGGTGCTGATATACCCGCAACTCTTCTTCCTCTATGACTCACGACAGCACAGGGAGGATGATGTTTTTGTGACAATCACACAGTCTTCCAAAAGCTCCCCACACCTCTTTTCATTTCCTCAATTTCCTTTGTTCTTAACATTGAGCCCAAATTGAAATACAATATGTAATAATTATCTTATAAACACAAAGTATTGAGACACTTTCAGCAGCGGTCCACAAAGAGCAGAATTTTCGAGCAGAAATGCAACCACTGGAATAGAGCGTGTACCAACTCTTTTAGTCAAGTTTTTTAGTCAAATCCCGCTGGAGTGGTAGGGAGAAAAACTTTTTTTTTAACTTTAAAAAATTTGAACTTTTCCCCCCCTATATTCAAACATATTTTTTTAAAGAATCATAAAAAGGCAGTTGAGAAGAGTAAATAAACTGTGACCAGGTGATATGAACTGATCAGCGCTCTAAGCACTTTCAGCCCCATGTGAATTCTCAAAATCCCCCATGACTGTATCCTCAGGATCTTGGATTGAGGATTATCCAAATCAGGTCCAGATTGCCCAGTGATAGACTTTAGAGGGCCGTTGAGTGAGGTTTACCTCCTGGCGTGTGACTTAGAGTGGTAAGATGGGATGGGGGTGGAGTTCTTCAAAGAAGATGCCAAATGTATTTTTCATGGTTTACTATATTAGTTGCCTGCACACTTCCCTGTCTCACCTCAGTGTTGCAACACGCAACTGGAAACACCTTTGTCTTCTTCTGAAAACACTCTGTATTTATGATGTGTATACATATAAATTTCTATGTGTATTTAATGTGCAGCAACATTCTAAAAGTCATTCATTTTCAAAGTTAATTTAATTCTACTATTTACCTCAATTTCTGAAAACCACTCTCCCTTTAGTCTGTTTATTTCCCCCAATTGTAGCATGTAGCATAAGGCGTCCAAGTCCTCCTTAAATCCTGCCCCCTTGTCCTAATCTGATTACAGTAGGTCAACTACAACCTTACCGCTATGTATAAGAAAATAGCTAAGGACTAAAATAGACATTCAGACTACAAGTCACCATATAACTTGCGACCCCTATAATCTGACAATAGATACAGGATGGGCTATTTTAGGGCAAGCAAGTAACGAACCTCGTGATTTTGAGCACAAAAACAAGCAGCCAGAATGAGAGGTTGGACAAGAACCTCACCTACTGCCAGCAAGGTTTTCCTGACCCTTAATAAAAGCCAGACATACATAAGCACCGGTGGGTCGAATGTACACTACCACACAATCTTTCTAACATGAACACAGACAAATCATACCTGTTTGGTTTCCCTCTGTTTCACTGGCCTCAGTCTGAACCTGTGGACAAAGTGCAGCTTCACTATGCTGAAAAGTGCCTTGTCTGGCAAAGCATGATTTATCTAATCAATACATACTTACAATGTTATCTAAATAATTTTAATCAGCTAAATTAAAAACTTTAAGGAGAGCTAAATAAAACACACATACAGGTGTTTTGACTCATGTTAGAGTAGCTAACTCTTACAGGTAAGTCACTTTGCTCTGTGATGTCTGCACCCTCTGAAATAGGCAGGAAGTCAGGGTCTCCCAGCAGATCCTCTCCGTCACTGAATGTACAAAAAAATGCATAAAGAAAAAATTTGAATGACATGTCAGATTTCTTTCATTTCAAGTGTTTTTTTAAAAGTATCTGTAAAGCCAACTTGTTATAAATTACACCACTTAAAAAACTAATCTGATTTTCGGTCACAGGATTGACTTTAAGCTGAACAGGCAGAGAAACAAGTACACAGGTGCACCATTTGTAAATATGTAATACTTACGAAGACATAAAAGAAAGATCCAGATTGTCAAATTCTCGGAAGATCTCGCTATATCGTTTGGTTTCAGACTTATGTACCCTCTTCACAACTGAAATAGGAATGGAAAAGTTAAAACGCTTAAAAAAAATTAATGGTCCTCTGTTATTCATTAGAAAGAATTGCGCTGGAATCAAACAGATCATATGAGAGTACAAGAATGTGAACAGTTGCATCTGATTAGAATAAATAACTGAGCTAAAATTATATGTAAAAGAATAACCTAAGTTCCTCTTTCCAAATATACTCAACAATATATTTCCTTGAAAAATCTGACCAAAAGAGCTCTTTGTTAACTATGGGAAATACATGTTGTATGAGGAATCAAACTTCTGCATAACTTTACTGTTGATTCATTCTCCCACATACTGAAAGGTTTTTAACCCAGTAACTACATCAGATGCAACAAATGAAAAAAAAAATCTGCCTTTCTCTAAGATGCCTCCATCTTGGTCAGCCACATCCTGCTAGCAATTTGTGTCAGGTCCAAAAATGCACAGAGTCCTTGTTTTTCACACCAGTCTTATTTAAGTAAGAGAATGGGTGAGATATTTAGGCGGAGGTACAATTCTGTTCAAATCAAACTGTTCTTCACCAGAGAAACCAACATTTGAAAAGGTGGCGACCCGTTCTGCACGAAATAATTGACGTGACATTATGAAACATTTCTGACTTAGGGAAATATTCTGATGCAAAGTTTTGGTAATTGTCAAACAAGCTTCAGTGCTGTCCTGAACTAATGTTCTGGCGTTAAACTGACAGCAGCCATATCCTGTTTGCTGCAAATACAGAAGTCAAGCAAAAACAGAAGATGAAGAACATGTCAAAATGAATACAGAGTTCAGGAAGTTCACAAACCCACTCTTCACTTCTAGGATGCCTCACAGTATCACTAACTCTCCACCAGGCCCATTTACATGGCCTGCTCTGCACACAGCGTGCAAGCACGCATATGCAACACTAGTTTCATTATGACTGCTGCAAAGTCAGCACATTAACAATCGACAAGAAACAAGATGATTTTGATACTTTAAAGCCTTTTTCAAATGTAAATAAAAGTGTATCTGAAGCAATCTAAAAATTTACAAAGAAAAGATTTGATTTGCATCACCAATACCAATAAATGTAGAATTTATTAGATCACCTACTCTAACTTACCCCTAAAAGTGACATTCTTTGTGCTCACCTGTGGGTTCAGATGAATCCTTGTTTGGCTGCAACTCTTCCATTTCTCTTTGTTTTCACTGTCAAGACAGAAAAACTCTAATAGCAGTACTCATAAGTCATCTGTACCTTGGTTCCTCCGTGATACATCATTTAAAAACTGTAGAGTGGTAGGAAATCTTACAGCGTGTGTAAGCGTGCACCACCTGATACACATGTAATAAAAGATCTGCGTTCAGCTCTGAGCTTGATACCGTTGAACCCCCTTGACATGCTCTTCCTCTGGTTGAGTGGAGGTTGGCTAGTGTTTTTCACCATCGAGCGAAGAGGAAGTGTATCTATGTGTCACTGTAGGCCCCACCCACAGAATCTCACCACATATAGTGTGAAGGTGTCACTGTTAATTTTGTGCTATTTTAGTAAGGAAGATTTACTGTGGAGAAAGATATATATAATTACGTACAAATATTATATAGTATGACATAGCAGCACATGCTGCACTTATACTTCTAAGTATTTTTTTCCTGGGTAAATTTCATTGCTGACTGAGAGAACAAATGTGATAATGAGCTCAGGTTTACATAACCGTCAGGGAGGAGTGTACTCAGTCCATAAGAGGAGCAAATATTGAGTAAAATGGAAAAATTGTATCTATCAGAAGCATTCCATAATCACAAACGTACACCCCCCTTTCTTTATACTGTGGTTCGTTGTAGGGTTGCAGGGGGAATGAAGCCCAAACCAGCCATCAATGAGCAGGAAGCAGGGTACACCCTGCACAGGCCCCCAGTCCATCACAGTGCCACACAGAGAGGAAAAACCATACATATTCACTTTATTGTATAATTTAGAATAGTCAATTAACTTAAAAAGCATGTTTTTTTATGGTGGGAGTAAGTCAGACCCTTAGAAAACCCACGCATACACAGAGGAAATACCCCCAGTCCCACATCAGACAATAAATAAATTGATCATATATCCCAACATTATTTTTTCTTTTCACAGTTCACCACCGACAGTTTTGTGCACTGTGAATATATTAATGAATGACATTAAAGCTCTGTTGGAAATCCCCTTTTTCAGATCTGTCTGGATGATCTGGTGGAAAAATGAAACGTCTGCAAACAGTGAAAACACCATGACTCAGACTTCACGTTATTTAATGTACCTCTGTAACGTAAAAATTCAGTCTGATTTGAGAACAATGTTGATTTGCTTTTTAATGTGGGCAGGTAAAAAAAAGACTTGTTATTGTGGGTTAACAGAGAGTTGCTTTGTGTGTTTTCGTACCTTTGAAAGTTTGTCTACACGCTACTGCAGAGTTGGCAAATAAAAAAAGAGGCAATATGCAACTTTGAATAAAAAATCATATTAAAAGAAGTTAACTATATCTTTCACTTTAGTGTCAACAAAAAGTAAAAGAGTAGACTTAAGACTTCAATGCCAGCTTTAAGTCTTGATTTCTAGAAATAAAGGGATTGTTGTCTAAACTATTTGTAGACGTAAAAAGATACATTTCAAAACTAAAGAAAAACATGCAAAAATTTTTTCACAGTATAATGTAAAATCAAATTAATCAAAACGACTGAGACATGTCAGTCAAATGTCATTCTTTGTTCATGCATCTGTTAATTTCTGTATGACAGATAGAAAACGGGTACTGCAAATGCCATTTGATATGACAAGTCTAGTGCCTTGATGATATAAAATCTAAGCATACAACTTTAGATGCCCACAATCCCTTTTTAACTTGTCACAGCTAACTATTTCAGTTTTTCCTGAAATTGTGATATTGTGCCGTTGCCGTGATGCTCAATCAAAAATGATCAAGGAAGACAGGTGATTAAAAACTACGCTGGAATGTCCTGTGTGCATTTACACTTCAGGATCTTCAGTTGCTCTCATAACTCATCCCGCGCTGTACTGTCCAAAGGAGACTGGAGCACGTCTGAGTTTTGGGCCTCGCTGCTGATCTTAGCTTGCTCCCGGGTCTTTCCTGAGCGCGCTCTGTCCCAGTCGGTGCGCAGTTTGTCGTTGTCCCACACAGTGGAAGTCTCCGTGTCGCTGATGTAGCCGGGGTCGCCCGTATAGTGCGTCGGGTACACGAGCAGAGGCTCTGCTGAGAACGCCTTCAGGTCCCTTGTTTCAAACTTCTCCATGTAATCAGACCTGTGAACAACAGGGCGAGGTCAACACGACTGACAGCAAAGGGCAGCAGTTTGTGCTGCTCTCCTAGCTAAATACTTACACTGGGTGTTTATTGAACATGATAGGAAGAAACTCATCCACCGGCAAAATCCTCTTCAGTGGCTCTGCTTTCAAGAGCTTTTCAGCACCTTGTAATGATATCATATAGCCTAATGTCCAGTACGAATAGTCAGCTTCCACTAAGTTGTGTACGTTTGGCACCGCTTTCTCTGGGTGATCCACTTGCATCCTCTTTCGGCCAATGTAACTGGAAGCAATAGAGAGACAGAGAGGTGAGAGGAAATCACAAACCTTGGAGAGCTGGCATATGACGAATGTTTGGGGTGGAAGAGGTGACTCACATGAGATCCCAGTCCAGTCCTTCCTCCTCGATCTCTCTCATCAAGTTCATCAAGCGACGCTTGAAGAAGATCTCAAAGCGCAGGTCGTCTTCAATCACCAGAGAAGTTTCAAGATGCCGCTCTACAATCTAAAGCCAAACGCAGATTAACAGACCGGCACATTCCCCCAATTTTCCTAGTTGATACTTATTAGGAAGCTTGGCTTCTGTAGCTCACCTCTTTCCAAATGTTATAGTGGGAAAGAAAGCATCCCAACTCTCCCTTTGTCAATGGCCGCCCGTGGTAAGGATCACTATACCCAGGCAGCATATGGATGCCCATAGCCTGAATTTCACTAATATTCATCGCTCTAAAATGAAGAGAGATGGAGAAATGTAACTAAGAGAAGGCATTAAGTGGCAGCTGAAACTCTGAAATCAGATTTCATCAGATAAAACTTACTTTCCATCTACAGCCGCAACAACCTTACATGCAATCTCTTGTTCATGAAGAGCCCTCAGCATACGCTCCCTGCGGTCAGTACGCCGTTGCAGGTTTATCATGAACACCTGCACGTACAGTTAAGCAAGTGAGTGTAATTGTAGGTAGATTTCCTCAGCAGGGAAGGTTTTCAGAAAAGGAACAGATGAAGAGCCATTTTTGCATATTCCATCTTCACGTCACTCGTCACTCACCTCGTCAAAGCCCATTTTGTCAGGTTTCTTTCTAGGAACACGTACGTATTTGGAGGGCATCACTGGGGCATTTCGCACTACACACAATGAGAGGGAAGATGGATGCAGAAATGGTATGAGTGATATATAGAGGCCCATGCTGAAAGCTTTCATTAGATCGAGAAGTAATACAGAGAATAAAGACTTAAAGCCAGCAGAAAAGTGAAATCTGGTTGCAAAAGGAGGTCAGCATCTGAATGAAAAACACTCACCGTTTATGTCCAAAAGTGAGTGCAAGAAGCTGTCAGACTCATCCTCCAAAGTATTGTGAGAGCGTAGTGGTACAGGAAAGTAACCATAGGTCTCCTTGTTACATACAAACATCTGAACATCTGCATAAAGAAGAATATAAATGTATATGTCAATCTAAAACTGCACTGTATTCATGTTACAGCAGCAAAACGTAACATTTCTGATCGAAGCATCAAACGGAAAATACCTGCCATCCGAGCAGAGAAAGCAAAAACAATGATGTCATCAAAAGCCCAGCTGTATTCTGGATGTGGTGGATGAAAGGCAAGCTGCCTTGATGCCTCTTTCCTTAGATCTATCAGGAGTGTGGAGTGCACCATGGGAACAGCAAAACAGCCTTTACGAACCTGCTTCCTGATGGGTATGTAGGCAGGGGTCCTCTTATAATAACCCTGTCAAAGGGAAGCTGATTAACATTTGATATATGCAAATATTATGAATACAAGCAGATAAACAGTTATCATGGCAGTACCTGGGAGGTCATTCCACACCAGAAGTTTGAATAGGCGGCACGTGATTGAAGCATTGGAGCAATAATAGTCTTATTCTCTTTTACGAGCTTCCAGAGAACATCTTCATTGGTGAGGAGGTTATCACAATCCACCAGCTGCACAAATGGGAAAGGAGAGACTATTAAATTGGACTATAAAGAGTATACAAGGCATATAAAGCACAGCAGCAAGTCTAAGATTTAAGTCATGAACATGTAGTTTTAAGTGGGTGTTAAAAATGAGAGCTTGGCTGACTTGTAAAAGCCATCTTTACTCTAAGTCTGCTCTTAAGAGAGAAAGTCCAGCTAAGACAACAGATTTAATAAACTCTTGATTCCCCTATCCTCAAATCGATAAGCCCCCCGAAGGAAGGTAAAGCCTGAGTAAACAAACAGAAATCTCTTCAGTGCTACATTACAAAAAGACTGTAATATAAACTTTGAAGAACAAAGTAGAACTGGGTCATTTTGGAACACCCTGTGCTTGTCTTAAATTACATCTGTGGTGGTGCTCGCCTTGTTTCTGAGCATATCCCTCAGCTGTTATTATTCAGTGACAGAAATAGCAGAGCTTAATGGACAGCTCTGTGCTTTTGTCTTATTGTGCTTTGTGTGTAAGTCTGAGGCAGTTTCTTTGGCCTACCATGAAGTAGTCTGCCCACATTTCACGAGCGGCCTCCAGTGCTGCCTGTCGAAGCTTCATGACATGCTCGTAACGGAGATCTGTCCACTCCTTTGGACCGCCCTCGTCCTCATATTGTCTTAAAAACATATTTTGACGTACATCAGAAACTTTTTTTCAGCTCGATGAGCCTGTCACAATATTACTTGAAAGACTAAATAAGCACCCCACCTAGGTTCCTCTTTTGGCCTCCATTCCACATAATGGTAAAGGCTCTGCACCTTAACAAGCCAGTCACGCAGAATGACGGTGGTGTTGTCCTCATTGTGGTCTGTCGCTACCCTGTCGAGACACAACAAAGGAAAAAAAAAATGAACAGGCTTGAGGATGATCGACGACTTGAAAAATAAGGCCACAAAATGAAAAGGTTCATGGGTAAACTGTGGCGGGGGAGACAAACCGAGTTCAAACTGCAATCAGTGTGGTAAAAAAAAAAAATCACACGAACAAAAGCACTGCTCAGATTTTGTACTCTTATTGTGCGCGGCTGCGGGGAGCTGTTAGTGACACCATCGTTACACAACAAAACACAATTCACCGAGGACATATCTTTTTAGGTTGACATTTCGATGGAGAGTTTAACCAGGGGAGCGTTAAGAGGATAAGAACATTAAAGAAGTGAAACCTCTGTCTGTAATAACTTGGAACGGAAGGAAATGATTCGAACTGACTTGACTCCGCACGAGGAACAAAACGAATCCCTCTGTGACAGCTCACATGTTTGGTCTAATTCTGCAGAAGAACGAAGTCATAACAGAAACCCTGTAGAAAATGTGAGCAATTATACAGCAAACAAAGAGCACAGATCCTTCTGTCATCTGGAAGGTCAGAAAGCTGCAAAACAACATCTGCACAACAGCCTGTGTCTGAGAACAACGCAGCTTTCTTGCTAACCCTAATTCCTGCTGTAGATCAGTCAGACTCCTCAAACTTACATTTGGTTTTCATTTCCACGCTTAGATCAAACACGTTTATGAAAATCATACACACTAGCTATGCAGCACTTACACTCCAACTGTACATCAGCGAGAAGTGCGACTGTCCTCATAAGGTCTATTTTTACCGTAGTGGAACAGAAACGGATGCCTAATTGCAGACACCGAAGATTTAAATGATGGTTGGGAAAGTTCTGATTCGGACGCCATGGTGTGCTTTCAAGCTGCTGGAGACAAAGCGCAGCTGTGTTTGCAACATCCCAGTTGTTTGCATTTTTCACTTGCGACTTTACATGCCTGCAGAACCTGTTAAACTAAACTAACTTCTCCAGAAACATACTAACAGACACTTGGACAATAATAACACACTCCATCAACATATGAATCTTGCAGTAAATGAATCTACTTTCTCCATTGAGAGACGTGGACACGCCTCCTAAGCTTCCTGTGTGGGTGGCCTGTTGGAGCATGCTTGATTATTACGAGAAAGCTTTCCTTTCACTCTCTTTAAGTTTTCCCAGCCTGACCCGGGCTACAGATGTCTAAAATGCTTATAACATAAACATGCTCAGCTGCTTGTTGCATAGACATACTGTATGTGTTTACAACAGCTGACATGGGGCAGATGTGCTGGGTTGGAAAAGGCCTGAAGGAAAAATGTTAAGTAAGCCATCACCCTGAAGAATACCACCCAGTTAAATATTTACATCAAGATAGAAGAGGAGAAAACATTTAACATGGAAGCAAACACTATTAGCATATTTTTTAGCACTCCATCAAACAAAATATGGGGATTCTATATTAGGAACGTCAAGTTGAATGATCTTTTACTTCAATAAGGGGATGCATCTCATTATGCGTGACTAAATGCTTTCCAAAATGACGTCTTTGCGTTGTTAATGTGTAAAGTTTACGCAGTAATAGAGGTAATCTGAAAAACTGGTTTCAGATATGATAGCGCTACTTGATAGCCCAGATAGCGCATGATGCAGTTTATTCTTTGGGTAGATAAGGCAGAGACTTAAACTACTGAGTGATATTGCTTGGATATGGCAGAAACGCACACTGCTCCCCACCGTGGCCAGACCAGTCCCCTCCCCTCCCCATCCACGTAGACAGATCGATGAAACGCACGTTCCATCTGATTAGTGTCCAGATGTGTTCTTCCTTTTTTCTTTCGGGTTGTTTTCACATCTGGGCTCATCGAAGACAGTGCAGCTCATCGGGACGGTGATAACAGTCCGTTTCATTTTCTTTGACCCAGAACTAAACGCGACACCACTTGGCGTTGTTTCCAGAGCCATTTTGACACCCAGACAACCTCTGCCTTTCATTTTACGCTCCTTCCAAACCAGCAAGTGAGCAGCAAGTTAGTTTTAGGATTTAAGAAGAAGTGTGTCCTAAATCTAAAATGATTATTTTTCGGGACGTTTTGTTTTCACAGATTGTTTCTACAATCACTTCCCAGTCGCAACTTACCACAGAGCCATACGGTCCTTGGGATAGTTGAGTCGATCAATGGTACCTAGGAAATATGGCAGAGAGTGCTGGGAGTTTCTGCAAACGAGAGCGAGGAGCACCCGAGGAGCGAGAAGCGGAGACTCTGGATTGTAGCGTTCCTCCGAGAAATATCCCCGAACGGGACAGCTGCAGGACAGCAGCCAGAGGAGCAGAGCCGCGGGCAGGCCGGCGCACGCCAGCATCGCGACAGCCAAGTGCGTTCCCAAAAAAAAGATTCTGCGAATAATGTGTGGTCGCGGTTCCTTTTGGGCTATAGAAAAACCGTCTTTTTACTTTTGGTGGCCATAACAGATGCGGAAAATGTGAGCAGCTGCAGCTCCTGATGCGGCAGCACGAAGTTGAGCGCAAAGGGGGTGGCGTGTGTGGAAGGTCTTAAAGGGGATGGACCACCAGGCTCCACTCCACAGGCAGAAATGGGTAATTCTTCAGCTCTCGGGAGAAAATGTCGCCACCACAATTCCAAATTAAAACAGATTCCATCCATTAACTTTATGACAAAGTCTGGGGAACAAACACACATTATAATAGCTGGGTAGGTTTTGTTCACTGGATTTTAAGATATCTTAAAACAATTAAAGTTTGAATGTTGTCTGAAAATATACAGAACAATTCATAATGCTTCCCACTTTATGAGAACTTTATTCTTTTCTATTTTGTATTTCAACAATTTACACATCAAGCCTCTTGCACACCTAAAGACATATAACCTTCTATTTTTTTTTCTCTGCACAGATCTGTAAAGGAACAGATCGCACAATAGAACATTTCCTTTGAACCCACACATCCAGTAAGTGCTACAATACAAAGGTGAGATGTTTCTGATCATCTGTGTTTCCCAGTTCATCATCACCCCTATTGGAATATTCGGTGAAGTTAAGTGTTGACTTTTGCCTTTGTGACCCTGGTAGCTCTACAGTTTGGCCCCTGGGCCGGGCCTTTCCACCTGGACAGTTAAAGAAGCAGCTGCGGGGTCATCAAGAAGCCAGAGCAGTTCCCCCTGGGTTGGTGCAACGCGAGCAGCAGGAAATGCCGTGCCTTCACTACCCTCCAGTATTTCCTGCAAAACAACGGGCACCATGTTACGATACAGAAAACTAAATTCAATAGGTTTTTCTCAAAGTATTGAATTATTTTCCCTTCACATAAATTAAGTTTTAAATAGCCACTGCCAACAGAAGATGTAAGTCACAATGCATAGGCCTGGATGTCATCTACCAGTCCAAAAGTGAGGAAAACCTAGGTTTGAGTGCCTAAAACTTGCATTTTTATTCTGTGTCCAGCAGGAGGAGACTCTATCCCCAAAATCAGGTTAGTTTGAATTAAAAGTTTGGACGACATTTAGATCAAAATGTTTCTAAAGAGTTTAAGATTGCAGTGAATATACCATCTATTTATATAGAAAAAACTAAATGCCTGTTTTGTAAACTATGGCTCTGTTTAAAGTAACACAGACAGCCAAGCTGCATTGTGAGTGAAAAACAGCTGTCTTCTGAAGGTGGATAGTTTATGGGAGTCACAAATTCCACATTATCCAGTTTTAAAATAGAAAAACTGTGGAGACCTAAATGATAGTTTACACCCATCTATCTTATATTCTGGGTTGTAAAGTATGGATTTGCAATGCATGCCTGATAATCACTTTCTAACGATACCTTCAAAACTGGGGCTTTGCTTCCTCCCGTCGATACAAAAGCCACACAGCGTGCAGAGTTGACCACTGGGAAAGTCATTGTTACACGCTGTGGTGGCGGTTTGGGAGAATCACTGATAGGGGCCACGATCTTCTGAGTTTCCTGCATGTTCAGTGTAGAAAACAAAACTTTCATCAAATGTTTTAAACAAAGCTCTAATCCTGTCTTGGCACTCGTCGCTCTTTAGAAGTATTAAAAAATACCAATGCAAGGACATACAATGGTCAGGCCTTACCTGCAGAAGTGGGTGGTCTGGAAAAAGGGAGCAGGTGTGTCCATCAGGCCCCATACCCAGCAGTAAAAGGTCAAATACGGGGAACCCGTCTCCAGGGAATGCCTGTGAATTTTTAAAGTAGCAACTTAACAGAATATCAACCTCCGCACACACAAATCTGACAGCTCGCAAATTGATCTGCACCTCTTTTAGTTTGCGGCTATAATCCTCAGCACACTCATTCACTGGCAAAGTGGAGTCGATGGTTAAGATGCCACCGTCGGGAATGTTTATCTTCGAAAACAACTGATTCTGGAGAACAGGAAAACTGTTGTAATCATCCAAATATAGCAGAATGCCTATACTTATTCACGCACGAGGACTGCGGATGGACACTAAAGAATGCGGTACCTTATAGAGTCCATAGGTGCTCTCTGGGTCATCGAAGGAGACCAGTCGCTCATCGCAGAAGCCAACCACCCACCTGCTGCAGTCAAGTCCGGACAGAGCCGGCAGCTCTTTGCTGAGCATGGATACCAGGCTGCCCCCAGACAGGCCCAGGGTGAACCTGCCACGAGAGGAGATGGCCTTCTCAGCCCGGGAGGTGACCAGATGGGCCAATGCCGGACCCAGCTCTGCTGAAGAGGGGAAAACCACGACTCGTCTTCCAGCCATGGGAGCAGGTTTATGTCAGGGACTGACGAGGAAGAAGAGAGAAAATAGATACATAGAAGGAAGTTGGTTACGAAACAGTATTGCAGGTGATAATATGTGCAATCGCCCATCGTGAAGACATCTAAATACCCAGACTACGTGAACCATTCTTTCACACGTTTTTAACTAAACTTTGTGGACTATTTGCGTTCAGACATATACATGACGAAAACAGAGTTTGACAAGAGCTCAGGAAAATTATATTTCTTAAAAAGATGAACTCCTAAAGTGGACTTCACGCGTCTTTTGGACAAATTAAATCCCTTTACCTTCTCAGTGAGTCTAACCAGCAGGACAGTCATCAGGATTTTCAGTCGGCAAATGGGCAAATTTAATTCAACGCACTACTTCCTGAGACGGCATCTCACTAACCAATCATCATCTGTATATTGCCGAGCTGCATTCTGGTCAGTGAAGTCCCTGAATGAAGCAGTGACAAACATTAGTTTGGCATTGGTTTATAGGGGAAAGTCGTATTTTGGGGGGTATTAACGAAACATAGATTGCTGCAGATGTCAATGGAGACTTATACCAGAGTAACACGGTATTGTTGTGTCTTTATTTTGTACAGATACGATACTTCCGCCCTGCCGGTAGATGGAGATGTCTCCATCTAGAACGAGTTTAGACACGTTCACGCCTATTTTGTGGGCATGCACACACGCCTCTTGTCGTAAATAACAGGGTAAATACTTTTCACAGTAACAACTGGGACCTCTGGAGTGTGACATCTCGTCTGCTTGAGATACGAGTGTCAGTTTCCAAAGAATCATGACGTCAGCCTTCTGTTTCCAGACCCAGCTCGTCTCCATCATGGACGCCTTGTCTAAAACAGCTGTGATGGAAATAGGTAAACTGGTAGAAATCGAATCCAAGATGTGGAAAATAGAAATAAACAGAGGGCGAAATGAAATAGCATCTCTCACAGAGAAACTGAAGCTGATGGAGAAGTTGTTGTACATGGCTCAGGGGGGCCGGCAGGCTGCAGCACCAGCTGCTGCAGCTGCAGCCTGCTCTGTAGGGGGGGAATATGCAGAAAACCAAGTTTTTTTTACGCCTGACAGGACAAGACCTCTCATCAAAAGGTATGTCCACATATGTATATATATAGAGAGAGCTCTGTGTTTAGCTGGCATCGTTTCTTGTGCTCCATGATGACCTGTGTCGTCTTTTCCTTAAGCTTTGTGCATCCAAGTGAAAACTTGTGGGAAAGCGTTGGTTCCTCTGCTGAGATGAGCAGTCTGCATCGAGCAAATAGCCACACTACAGCTGATGCAAGTTTCTACTGATTGTAAAGCTTTACAATAAATAACTCATTACAGGATGTGTAGTTTGGAAAAGGTGGAGCTGATATGCCTTTTTTTCTCATCACATTAGCTCTTAAATCCACAGAGAGATGAGTCTGAACTGGTAGTGGTGAAGGAGGAGCCACCGGAGTTGATCAATGAAGACACTGGACAAGAGGAGATGAGTGATAAAAGTCAGTGCTGTGTTTTCTCAATAGTTTTGGCCGTGCAAAATGATTCTACAAGGTCTTGTAATTGCATTTTTCTGTATAATCAAATAAGCCTGTGACCACACTTGTGTATTTCTTTATTTTGTGATACTGTTGCTACATTTTATCCATGCTATTCAGAACTGTACTTAGAAATAACTTTAGTAAAAGTAGCAAACTTCATCTACTCCACACGTGAACAGAAACACCAGTGACCCTTGTGGCCTTGTTGGGGTAATTAGGATTAACAATATTTCCTACATTTAATATTTTTATCTTCTGTTAACAGGACAGGAAGTAAGCACAGACACCCAGAAGAGTTCAGAAGTGAAGCGGGATCTCAAACCAACGCCAGAACACCAGCAACATTGCTTCGCCAATAGTCTTTTGACTTTGAACCCGGAGCCATCTCTTGCTGAGCTGGAGAGCGAGGAAACACTCTGGACTTCACATGTAGTTCCTGCACACACAGATCTTGGGAATGGCAAAAGTGTGGCTCAAAACGTTGCTCCCCAAAACGTACACGTACTCAGGAATATTAAGCATCACAATTTTAGGAACTCAGCTGCAAAGAAGTTTGGCTGTTTGCAATGTGGCAAGAGTTTCAGATGCTTTAGTCAGCTTGAAATCCACCAGAGGAGTCACACCGGGGAGAAGCCATTCAGATGCACGCTGTGTGGAAAGCGATATGCCCAAAAAGGGCATCTGTACACACACCAGCGTACACACACTGGGGAGAAGCCATATCGATGTCCTATTTGTGGAAAGGGCTTTATTCAAAAATGCACTCTTGACATGCATCAGCGCACACACACAGGAGAAAAACCTTTTGTTTGTCCGAAATGTGGCAAAGGTTTTACAAAGAACTGTAATCTTAAGAAACACTTTGCAGTACACCTAGACTGTAGTTTGAATGATAGTGAAGGCCCTGAACCAGCCTTTGGTGGAATATTCACAAGTGACAACTCTTAAAACGCCAACCACTACAAGAACTCGAGCTTTCCAGCAGTGCAAATATCCATCCATTATCTTTGCCACGTATTTCTGGTAGCTCACATGGGGTGAGAGGTTAGGTACTTTCTGGACAGGTCACCAGTCCACCACAAGGTCACATAGAAACAAACAACCTCATGTCCACACACATGTGGGTGTAGGGAAGTGGGAGTACCTGGACCGAAGCCACACGTACACAGGGAGAACATGCCGACTCCACACAGAAAGGCGTTTCAAAACAGGAACCCTCTTACTGTGTGGCGATAACCACCACGCCATCTTGTTAATGCAAATAGTTTTGTGTAAAATAAAGATATCCTAGATTCAGATCTCTGTGTGCCACCTGCTTTTACTGCAAAGATGCCAGACGATAAAAATATCTGATGTCAGGATTTCAGCCATGTACTGTACCAACCATTTCATACTGATATACTATGAGTTTCAACACAATGGACAAAAGCTTTTCTGTTTTCAAGGACATAGGCAAAAATCAAAATTAGAATTCCTTCAGAAATTAGGCCCTCAGGAAGAACTGCATCAATAACAAAATAAGTAATATAGATAGATTTGGTACCACTGTACACTGCCATCCAACACAAAATATACAGTATTATTTATGTTTTAGATTTTCTTTGAATGTCTTACAGTAAATATTTTTTGTCTTGAGGTACGTTTAAAATGATTTTTGACTTTCTTTTTAAAATTTAAATCAGTTTATGTTGCTTCTCGTGATGACAACTAGATGTCAATAATTTTGCATGACATATATTTCATGATTGAAAGATGACAACTTTTAGATAAAATCATTTTAGAAAAAGAATTAAGTTATTGTTATTTTTGTCATACTAATTCTAATTCATTCTTATTATATTGGCCTTTAAAGACATAAGAACTTGATGACGGTGTGTGAGAATCAAATGTTTCTCTTAGTGGTGATAATGTAATCAAATAACTCTTTAACTCAGGACACGGAGACAATAAATTTCATTTATTGTTTCACCTGCCCATGACATTTTCGAAACCTGGTAACCGGATAGAATAAAGTAAACACTTATGAGGCACGTCTAATTGTGCAATAAATCATTTAGAGTCATTACAAAAATGTCCCACTGCCACAGATATGAGAAATTTGAAAGCTTTGAGCTTTGGAAGGACATTTTTTAATCAGACGTGTGGCCCCCGTCTGTGCTCGTCATAAGCGGGGGTGCGCGAGCACACCATTTACCCACAACCCCTTGCGGCACAGCTGTATCACACATTTTATTTAAGGAGCAACGTTGCTACGGTGGAAATCCTGCTAAATTGACCAAATATTGAGCCCCCTCAGTCGCTATGATGTGTGACACCGCGAACCGGAGCTTTCGGACACAGCTGGCCGTCATCCTGGAGAAACTAACCAAGGCGGCTCTGGTGGAAATCGGAAACCTCGCTGATGAGTGCTCCTCTGTCCTTCACACCGAGATATCGCTGCACAAAACCGAGAACGAAGCGCTGAAGAAGAGGTGCTACTCGCTGGAGGTCCAGCTGAGGGCGGCGAGGGAGGCTCAGCTCTACCCGGGCCACGTCCCCAGCAGCGCCGGCCGCAGGCTGACCGCAGGTCAAACACACGGACCCGGGGTCCTATAAGCGGCCACCCCGGCTCCTACAGCCTAATGTTCCGGCTTTATCTGTGTTACCGACAGCCGGTTGGTTTTTATTGGGAGGCTATAGCCACCCCCCAGTTGAGCTATTTCCGCTGTTAAAGTCGAATTTTAGCCATACTTTGTACGCACACCTTGTTAAAAACGTGTTAAAAAAATGACCCCTGTCATGTTTGATGTTGTGTTTCAGATCAGCACCAGCCTGCACCGGCCATCGATGGAGTGTTCGGAAAGGACTGGTGCATGGATCTGTGGAGAGAAGACAAGCTGCCCCCTCCGAGAGGAGAGCTAGTGGAGGCTCCTGTTATGAGCAATATGGGTGCCCAGGTCAGCTGTGGGGGGAGCCTGTTCATCCAATGATGGGATGGTGGAATACTCAGTTTTCTTTTGTCTTGCTCATAGGCAGTGGACATGATGGTAAGGGAACCTGACCTCATCTTTGTCAAGGAGGAGATGTATGATGATCATCCCATTGGCCAGCACATGAGGCACCCAGATGACAGAAAAAGTAAGTAAGCGACAAAGACAACAACTTTAAATACTTTAATCATGTTGCCGCCTGTGGTTGACCCACGTTTTTCTCACTGGACAGTTATCGGGATGTTTGAGGAGGACGGAATGCTTCCCAGATCTGTTGATGAGCTGCAGCTTCACTCGGGGGAGTTGAATAACTTCCCCATGGCGTCTGAAAGTCAGATTCAGCAACGCGCACAGCCGACCATCATGGACAGGTTGATAGATGACGCAACCATGAGCACTCTGACGGAAAACACCAACCCCCCCTCGGCCCCCGTGGAGCACTTGGACTACGCAAACAGCATCAGCGCCAACGCAACCAAAGATCCCGCCGTCCAGGCAAAACTGCCCAAGCCGGTGAAGAGGTTTGAGTGCTTATTCTGCGGGAAAACCTTTAACTATCTCAGCAGTCTGAAAGTGCACATACGGCGGCACTCGGGCGAAAAGCCGTTCAGCTGCTCCGTGTGTGGGAAGTGTTTTGCACAAAAGACGTATCTGAAACTGCACCAGCGGGTGCACTCGGGGGAGAAGCCATACAGCTGCCAAGACTGCGGCAAAAGCTTTTCCCAGAAAAGCTCCCTGAACATACACCTCCGGACGCACACTGGCGAAAAACCTTACAGCTGCGTGGATTGTGGTAAATGCTATGCGTATAAGTATGGATTAAACCACCATCAGTGTTTCAACTGGCTGGTCAAACCAGAGGTGTTCGACACTGATGCGCTGGGCTCTGTTCAGAGTGGCTCCACCTGCGCCAGCATGTCCATGTGAGCCCAAACCTGGATGGATGGGGAAAAAACACACAAAATTGATTTAAAGTGCTCCATTTTTTTTTAGCACAAACAAGTGGAGTGTTTGTTAACGGTGTTGCTGTACATGTTTTCAACTTCCTAGCAGAGACATATGTCAGCAGCTAAAAAAAAACACGAGTGGATAGCTCTTTTTATTTTTTGATGGGTCATAGGAGGGTGTAGGGTTAGGGAGATTGATTAGGCTTTCCATGCTACATTTCACAATGCCCTCAGCTTACAAGAGAGATCAATTCTTTAAGAGACAAACTCCTTGTAACGTTGGGAAAAACCAAATGGTAACCTCCACGTCATCCACACGTGTAAATACCTCATACATCAAGCCACAAAAGTCCTGTCCCAGAAAAGGCCAAAATAATTGCTCTGGGAAGTGGCTCAACAGTTTGCACACTTGTATAATAAAAACATACTTTAAAACTACCTCTTTGCAACGAAGTGAAAACAAATCTCTGTGCTTTATTGCCCAGGTGTCACCACAGCTTTCTATTCCTCATATGCCAAGCCTCATTTCTGTAAATGGCATTAAACTGAGCATGGAGGCCTTGAAGAACCAAACTGTCCAGAAACCGCTGACTGATGCTACCTTTTAATAAATATATTTTATGGTGCATCATAATTGTATATAGAGTGTTTGTGTTTTCAACATGCCAAATGTTTAATTTAATATCCAGTTTTAGTTAACTGTTAACTGTTTTGTATCTATTTAATAGGTCAGGATTTGCCAGTGATGATTCCCAGGAACAGAGCAGCTGACTGAATTGTCCCTGTTCAGGGCAGACGTCTTTGTCATGGAGATTTCTGTTTTCAGGACCTCTACTGCTATTTAGCTTTGTTTAAAACTGTTCAGGGCAAATACTGTGGCTGTCTTGCATCATAAATGTCATTAGACAAAAGATTGTTCATATTTTAAAAGGCTTGATATCAAATAAAATTTGAATCACAAAATGAACATTGACGACTGTTTATTACATTTAGGAGGTTCCGGGCTTTTGACCCCCAGTGACTTGTTGGTCAGCACTGTTGGTTATGGTTTGAAAATGGGATCATAGTGTAATTGTTTATTTTAGTATTTTCACTGAGTCGGGTCCATTTGTTTGTGGAACAAGTTTATTGTTTATTTGGAATACAAAGACAAAGCACTGAAAAACATTAAAATGCTAAAAGAAAATAAGTAACTAAAAACCATTATTGTTTCACACACCATACTTGTGCAGCATGACACTACCGGCTTAATTAAAAAAAAACATTAAAACTACCTTAACATTAAAAGTGGTTTAAGAATATTCTCCTAAAATAGGCAATTGATCGTCCTTTACAGCTTTTGTTTTGCTATGAAATTTCTAAGTTGTTTCAGATTTTTTTGCCCGAGTTCCTCTAACAATCTCACTGTTTACATGTGCCATTAAATGATGGTTAAGGTTAACCTTTTGTGTAAATGTCTTCCCACACTTAATACATTGAAAAGGCCTCTCTCCAGTATGTATGCGCAAGTGACATTTCAGATTGCCTTTTTGGGTAAAGCTCTTCCCACATAAGTTGCACCTGTAAGGCTTCTCCCCAGTGTGGACAACATAGTGAATCCTTAGAGCCGAACGGTTGGCAAAAGTCTTCCCGCACAACTTGCATGACTGGCTGATTCTCTTAGTGGGAACTGGGGGCACGCACGTGTGAGACTTGAACTTGTTCTTGTAATGGAAATGCTGCTTACAAATGCTGCAGAAGTTTGACTTGTGCGATTTCATGTGGCGTGTCAGAGTGCCCTTGTGAAAGAATGTCCTGTTACATATTTGACAAGTAACCTCATCTGTGTTGAGAACTCTGGAAAACCTCAAATAAGGTTCACTGAGGTCATCTTGTGAATTTTTATCCAGAGTATCGGAGTTTAAGGCGGTGCCTTGGGGTAAAGTCAGTTGCTTGGCGAGACTGGGCCCGACTGCGGCCTTCACAGCTAGGTCCTGCTGGCTTTCTAGAACAAACTGAATATCATCGTCATCATCGTCTTCAATTGGAATTATATGAGTGATGAAGGCTTCTTCTGTATCATTGACGGACATTAGCTGCACAGTTGGTTCTTCCATGCCTTCTGCAGACACAGCCTGCTCCTCACTCTGATCAAATGACACGCTGCAAGTGCTGCCATCAATCGAGTAATCTGCTGACAGCTGCTCCGGCTCCTCTGCCCTGCCTTCCCCGTGTTCTCCTGTACGACAGCAAAGAGTCAAACGCTCACAAACAGCTAAAGTTGGTCAATCTTCACGTATCCTTGCGTTTCCACTTGGTCTCCTGCCTTACCTTGTGTGCTGAGTGTTTCCTGCTGGCTGCAAGGGACAGCATCCTGTATATATTCCTCTTTGACATGAGCCACAGCAACCTGCTCAGAAAGAGTCTCCACAGACTGTTAACAAAGAAATAAATGTAAATGTTATACTGTAGTCCAAGACAACACCAATCGTTTAGACAGCAGGGCTTCATCATTTTCACGTTAGACTGAAAATGGTTTGAATTGATGAACAGATTTAAGAAAGAGATTCCATGCCTTTGGCTAGTTGGGTCACAGGGGGTTTGAGGCTATCCCAGGTGTCATTGGTCTAGAGGCGGGGTACACCCATCGATTTAATTGAATTATTCAATTAAGCTAAATTAGATTCTGAAACTTCACAATTTTTCATACAACTCCTAGGATTTTTTAGGTGACATCTTTAAATTTTATTCAGGGGTTTTCTTAAGATTATGATGAAAATAAAGGCAATTGTGGCACGTGAAACCTTTTGTGCAATACATGAGTTTAACTCACACTCATCATGTCTGGTGACAGTGCAAAGTCTGAGCAGCTCTGCAGACCGTACGGATCTCTGTCTTTCCACAGATTCATGCACCAGTCTTTTCCAAATATCCCGTCAATGGTGGGAGGACCAGCCACTGAAAGAAAACGAAAAAAATCAAAGACAATAAATGCTCATTGGTTTTTAATCAACAACTGAGCAGCAGTCACTTTGAAAATGAGGTACCACCATCAGCTTCCTCATCTCTGCGGCAGACAGTCTGCACCCCTACGGAGCGATAACTTTTACACAATTCGGGGGCGTCGCATCTTGTGATGGTCATCTTGCAATCCAGACTGTTGACTTTTTCTTCGAGGGCTGAGTTTGCAAACAGAAGCCGGGAGAGCTCCGACCGCAGCTCAGACGAGTCCTCATCCACCAGCTTGCAGACCTGAGCCAGGGCAGACTTAGCCATCGTCTCCATGATGGACGACAGCTGTGAGTGAAAAGAAATACGGGTCGCCATCGCTCACAGTGACAACAGCAAGACTTTTTAACCTAAGACTATTAAAATTCAACAAAGAAATGAATATTTTTTTATGTAAATGAAAACATTAGCTTCCGGAACAAAGAGTCTGTAAGCTAATTTGAGGTAAGGATCCTCGGAGACTGGGACCCAAATAAAAGTAGCAAGAGTGACGTATTTCCGGCGGAAGTAACGGGTCAGCTGACTTGTATCAGTGAGCTTCCTCCTTTGCAATTTACAGCAGAAATTGGCGTCTTTTCTCCATTTCTGACATAAATGCACACTGCCTCTCCCCCGCGCCTCTCTTCAGATATTAGCAGACATTCTCCGGGACAACCGCAGCCGCGAATATGAACACGGAGAAAGACTTTTCGCCCCTGACGCCCAACATCGTCAGGGCTCTGAATGACAAACTGTACGAGAAGAGGAAAGTCGCGGCTCTCGAAATAGAGAAACTGGTGAGGGAGTTTGTCGCTCAGAACAACTCCACTCAAATCAAACATGTGATACAGATCTTGGCGTCTGAATTCGCTCTGTCCCAACACCCCCACAGTCGGAAGGGGGGTCTCATTGGACTGGCGGCTTGCTCCATCGCCCTCGGGAAAGACTCAGGTCTGTATCTGAAAGAGCTTATTGAACCCGTGCTCACGTGCTTCAATGACTCAGACAGCCGTTTACGCTACTACGCTTGTGAGGCTCTCTATAATATAGTGAAAGTGGCCAGGGGAGCTGTGCTGCCCCACTTCAATCTGCTTTTTGATGGTCTCAGTAAGCTTGCAGCCGATCCGGACCCAAATGTGAAAAGTGGATCTGAACTGCTGGACAGACTGCTGAAAGACATAGTGACAGAAAGCAACACGTTTGACTTGGTGGCATTTGTTCCCCTGCTGAGGGAGAGAATCTACTCAAATAATCAGTACGCCAGGCAATTTATCATTTCTTGGATCCATGTTTTGGAGTCTGTACCAGACATTAATTTGTTAGACTATCTGCCAGAGATTCTGGATGGGCTGTTCCAGATTCTGGGAGACAACAGTAAGGAGATCCGCAGGACGTGTGAGGTGGTGCTGGGAGAGTTTCTGAAGGAGATTAAGAAAACTCCTTCAAGTGTGAAATTTGCTGAGATGGCCAACATCCTGGTCATCCACTGCCAAGTTGCCGATGAAACCAAACTCACAAATGATCTGATCCAGCTCACCGCCATGACATGGATGAGGGAGTTCATCCAGCTTGCGGGCAGAGTGGTACTGCCCTATTCCTCTGGCATCCTAACTGCGGTGCTGCCGTGCCTGTCTTATGATGACAGAAAGAAGAACACAAAGGAGGCGGCGAGTGCCTGCAATCACAGTCTAATGAAACTGGTGACTTCTGAGGACGATGAGGAAAATGAAGACGAAAAAAGCAGAGGCACAGGGTCACCGTCGACAGCAGAGGGCCAACCGAAAATGGAGGGGGATGGTAATGATATGCTGAATGCGTCCCAAGAATCAGTTGGTTTCAGCAACATCAGTTTCTTCACTCCAGCCACCGCTGATAGGCCGCAGGTGAACTTAGATCTGGACGGTATTGTCCAAGTGCTTGACCGGCACCTCCATGACTCCTCCACTGGCATGATGACCCGCATAGCTGTGCTCAAATGGCTTTATCACCTATACATCAAGACGCCACGAAAAATGTTCCGCCACACAGACAGTCTGTTCCCCATTCTGCTTAAAACGCTGTCCGACGAGTCTGACGAGGTGATCCTGAAAGATCTGGAGGTGTTGGCTGAGATAGCGTCCTCTCCCGCTGGCCAGTCGGACCAAGCGTCCTCTTGTGACAGCACTGACAGCAAATTGGTGCTCAAAGTCCCAGATGGTCCGAAGCAAGGGCAGCAGCCCAACGCGGGCCCCAAAACCGCGGACGGCTCCCCCTCCACTCCCAGCATGAACTCGTACTTCTACAAGTTCATGATCAATCTTCTGAAGCGTTTCAGCCTGGAGAGGAAACTCCTGGAGAACAGAGGAGCTTTCATCATCCGACAGCTGTGTCTGTTGCTTCATGCAGAGAACATCTTTCACTCTATGGCCGACATCCTGCTGAAGGAAGAGGACCTTAAATTTGCCTCCACCATGGTTCAGACTCTCAACACTATCTTGCTCACTTCTGCTGAGCTCTTCCAGTTGCGCAACCAGTTAAAAGACCTGCACACTCAGGAAAGCTGTGCCTTGTTTTGCTGCCTGTATCGGTCCTGGTGCCACAACCCCGTGGCCACCGTGTCGCTCTGTTTCCTCACACAGAACTACAAGCACGCGTATGATCTCATCCAGAAGTTTGGGAACCTGGAGGTGACGGTGGACTTTCTGATGGAAGTTGACAAGCTTGTGCAGCTCATAGAGAGCCCCATTTTTACCTACCTGCGTCTGCAGCTCCTAGATGTGGAGAACAACCCGTACCTGATAAAGGCCCTGTACGGCCTGCTGATGCTGCTGCCCCAGAGCCAGGCCTTCCAGCTGCTCTCTCACCGCCTGAGATGCGTCCCCAACCCAGAGCTCATGAGGAGCGTGGATGAATCCAAGTACATGGACTCGAAACAGCAAGTGGCGTGCAAGCGAGCCTCTCACACAAACATGGATTACAATGAGCTGCTCCAGCATTTCGACCGGGTTCAGAGCAAACACCTGGAGGTGCGACACCAGCGCATCGGGCGGGGGGCCTCCGACCACCCTGACAGAAAGCTGTTGTGAAGGTGTTTTGTTATCGTATGTCTCTATGGGAAAACACAGGACAGTGGGAGGAAAGTCAAGACACAAGTGAAGGACGGAAATATTAATATAAGTGATGCACTAGAATTATTAAATGTTATTAATGCCAAAAAAGTGTTATGGATTTAGTCAGACAAACACTGGGTGTATATTGTTGAATCCTCCTCCTTGTGATGTGTAACACGAACCCCGCTAAAGAAAGTTAATGATTTATTAATCTTCTCTATTAAAAGGCTGGTTGATATGTTCCACTCAAGAAATATGTCAACAAATACTTTGCTTTTAATTTCCAAACAAGCCACTTTAATTGCGTGTCCTGTTAAGCATCAGAGATCGTAAACGTGTGCTCAGGTTTGCCTTAATCTCACTCCAGCTAGAAAAGAAATCTCACGTGTTGCATGTCTACTCAGGCATCTGGGATTTAACTCTGTGGATAAATGAACTGTGGTGTAAATTCTGGATTTATCCATGTTGTTAAAGACCAGGAGTTTTACCTCATACAGCATCAGCTTTCTGTTAGGTCTCAAAGTGCTTCCCATCTAGATATCTCTCTCTCTCTATATATATATATATATATGGTTTGTACAGGTCTTGCATTCTTTATTATGTTGGATTTTCACTTCTGTCATTCCTGTCTGAAAATCAATAAAGTGGACCATGTGTTTAAAAAAAAGTCTACAGTCATTAAACAACACAAGATAATGAGAACAGTGTTTGAAAGAATTTGTCACTTTAAATGGGACCAATATTTTTATTTTATTCTCCTTTTGTTTTCGATAATTCAAGTTGATTTAGTTTTCATATAATGCAGGTGTATTACACGTCAATGAAATTATGTAAAAGTATAAAAATATACAGTTTTGTGTTAAAATGTCTTGCTAAAATTGCACTGTTACTATTTTTGTTCAGTCAAAGCAGTCCACTTGTGAGTGGATTTACAAATCTCATTTTAATACCAGTGTGACGGTATTCAGTTACACTATGGGATTACATGCCTCCACGTGACATCACAACTCAAAGCTCCTTCTGTCTTATTTCATTTGAAGGGGAAATGTTCTTTCTTGCCGTTTTCTGCCTGTCCCTGTCAGTACAGCTGAAAGCCTTCCTTATATGTGCACGGTGATTTATGGCTCGACTAGAGTGACTGAGCCCTTTCTCTCCTCTGCTGCAAGGTTCTCTGTAGCGGAACACGCAGGTTACATGTTCAGAAAATTAAGCTCATCAGTGCTGCCTTGAGTTTCCCAGATGGAGGATGACGGCGCAGGTCGGGTTTCTGACGAGTCAAGCTGTGCCGTGTGTGGAGAGACCTTCCTCGCTCCTATGGTCCTCTGCTGCGTAGCCTGTTCCCAGAGCTTTTGTAGTTATTGTTTGGAAAAGTTTTGGACGCAGTTTGGTGCTAAAGAGTGCCCTCTCTGCTTTTATGAGTGTCTTGGATTTCCACACAAGCCATGTGAAGCACATGGCGAGAGACTGTATCTCCTCTGTATGGCTGACTTGGAGCCAGTCTGCTCTATTTGCAGGAGATCAGACCCACACGTTAACCACAGAGCATATCCTATCAAGAAGGCATTTACAAATTCTAAGGTAAGCAGAGTAAAAATACCAGTTAAACTCCGAGTTTAATCACACGTCTGTTTTTTTTTGTGTGTCTTATCTAAATAAATAGTTTAAAAAATACAATTTATTAAGTAACAAGTCCACATAAATTCTAATGTATCAAAATTAATTTATTGCTTGTAAGGGGAAATTGAAAGGTTATTAAATCAAGTAAAAGCACTGAAATAGTGATACACTCAACAACTGATGAGGCTGTGTGTTCAGGTCTGCTGGCTGATACTATCTGTGATTTTAGACTGCCTCCGTCACTGGCATGTACACTAATCCAATTTTCTCTTTGGCATCTCAACAAGAGATCATATCTCCTTTGGCTTATTTGGGCAGGGATTCCATGTAGCAAGGCGCAGAGGTTATAACCTGCTGTAATACTAAGACTGAATTCAATGCCAAGTAATTACTATATGACACTTCCCTTGCCAATTTTGTCCAGCGGATGTATGAGGACGCTTTTATTGGAATGTAAAACATAAAAATATCAAATCTGGCATTATCACTCCACATTTGGGTGCATTTACTGTGTTTAGCATCATAACAATGCAAGTAACATGCAGTTTATGTCAAGATAATATTTTAAACTTTCCAACTTGGCTCTTGGGGGACTCTGTATCTGAAATGTATTCCTGACATATTAACACAGCTATGTGTATGGATATGTGAAGTTACTGCCAACTCAACGTTAAGTGTCAGCTGTTAAAAACCTCAAATGAAGCTTTAGATCAGAGCGGTGAGAATGGACAGAAGCATTTGCTTTTTGTAGTGTATGTTTCAACATCTTAAGACGGGCTAGCACACTATAAAAATATAAATGTTAAATTTCCTTTAACTCAGCATTTGTCCTGTGTCACTGTAATCAGAAAAGAGTTCGAAATGGGGTGGTTTTGATCCCTGTGCCTTCACACTTGCATGTTGAATACTATCACAAATTATTTCTTAAGCTGGACATACCCCTGTATGTGTACCTCGCATCAGCCTTACAATAGCTGTCAGAGTAACTCTTTCCTATTTCAAAATAGATTGGACTCTGAATGGAAGATATGACAAAACACACCCAACAAAACCTTAAAGCAAACCCTTCAGTGAAAAATATTCCACGGGGGCACCACCTCCTTTTTCTATTTATAAACTCAGCCTTAGTCTTATTTTGGATTGTTTCTCTTCTTTCATTACACTGTGACTGGTTGTTTTCACAAACTTCTCAGATAACCAGAGGTCTTCCTAATTTAGCTGTAATCCAAAGACCATCTTGTGAGCTAACATTCCAAGCATCACTTTTCTGTTATCTTTGGATTCATTTTATTTGCACGGAGCTGCAGAGCTCTAGTCTCCCAACAGTAAACTGAGATTAGTTTTATTCTGAGGGGTGTTTATTTGAGAATGTGCACGCTCGACACAACATAACATGGGATATGCTTTTGAGAGCTGAAGTATTAACACTTATTCCTGAGGTTAAGAGGTAGCCTCCCAGAGTTGTGGGCGGGACTTAAGAGCCTGACTTATCGTCAATGCACAGTAACAAAGAATGGCTACTGGACGCGCCTATTCTGAAGATGACCTTTCCTGTCCAATTTGTGGACATATTCTCAGTCAGCCGGTGGTGCTCACCTGCAGACACAGGTTCTGTAAAGCCTGCCTGAAAGACAATTGGGACGGACAAGGTACCGAAGTTTCAAACTTCTGTCCTCTGTGCTGGCGCCGCTCCTCCATGGACAAGATAGTGGTGAACACCGTACTAGAGAAGGTCTGTGAATCCTATAAAGAAAGAAAAAAGGATGATCCTGAGGCTTGTAAGGAGCATGGAGAAAAGATCACTCTCTTCTGTTTGGAAGATTTACAGCCGATCTGTGGTATGTGTGGCAAAGCAGCTGCACACAAGGGGCACAGACTCTATGACATTAGGGAAGGTGCTCATGACTGTAAGGTAAGCATATTGTTGTCAAAAGAATGGGCGTCTCATCCGATGACAGTTTCTATGATTTATCCACGTCCTTAACATGAGCAGTCTAAATTATATTGCATTGTCAAAAAGGTTTCCCACTTATTTTCTGCCAGGGATTACAGCAGAATTGATGACAAAATGCTTGTTAAAATACAGTCTTTTAATGAGTCACATTAGTACACATTAGGTAGACCTAACTCTTTTCTATATAATGCTGATTGGTAGATAATATTTGTAATTCAAATACTATTTGTTATATCACTGTTTCACCCTAAACACGAGGTTTCCATTTAATGGCATTTACTGTTTTGTGTTGTTTTTTATTAACATTTTTTAACCATTATGGTATGTCTCTGAATCTTATATACTCATGATGTGTGAAGGTTGTAAAGGTTCATTTACATTCTAATAATAGATTTATATATTTGGTATCCTGTTGCTATTGGGGCCCCGAAAGAACTGAAACTTGACTCCCACGTGGTTTCTGCAAAGTTACATTCATTCTAACCCTGCCATTCTAAGCCTCCTCCTGAAGCCAGGAAACAACAACTACTATCAAATAAATCTGTTGGTTTCTGAATCATGTCCTTCCCAGTCTAGACATGAAGCATAAGCTCAATTTTGCTAATGTCGCCGAGGAAGTGATTGTTTTTCCATCAACCTTTTTTCTCCCTTCTCCTTTGGTTCTACTTTATCATGTGACTTTTATGTACATGGAATGCCGCCATGGAAAAGTGTTTGGCAGCTGAAAGGCCCGCACTTTGCTGACAGCTTGGTCACCTGCCACACTGCCCATGTTTTCAATAGTTGATCTCCTGTCACTAACATTTCAGGAGGAACTAAAGAGTGCCCTTCTGCCCTTGAAAGAGAAACTACAGCTTTACAGAAAAACTAAATTGGCATGCGAGGAAATGGCAGAACACATCAAGGTACTCGGTCCACTCATTGACAAATGTTACCTTGAAGAATTCGAAGACCTAAGGTAAAAGGCAGTGTTTACTTATCAGTCATGTTTCTTTCCAGAACCAAGCGGAACACACTGAAACACAGATCAAAGATGAATTTGAAGTTCTTCACCTTTTCCTGAAGGAGCAGGAAGCCGCCAGACTTTCTGCTTTAAAGGCAGAGGAGGATCAAAAGAATCTGATGATTAACCAGACGATTGAGGAGATGACCCATGAAATGACATCTCTTTCCAACACCATCAGATTAGTGGAACAGGAAATGACGAGTCAAGACATACCATTTCTTAAGGTAGATCAGACAACAGCGTGTGATTTCATGTGGAATTTGTACAGTCAAATGCTCTGATTCACATGAAAGATTTCCTGTTCAATTGCTTTCAGAATTACAAGGAAACAATTAGAAGGTAACTGTTGTTTTTTTACTCTGACCCTGAATCTTTGTTTATTATAATTCAACTTAAATACATAATCCTCAAAAATTAACTCAGGCATATCTTTACAGAACCTGGAAAAGTCCTCCTGAGCCTGAAATGATACCCGATGCTCTTATTGATGTGGCCAAGCATTTGGGCTCGCTAAAATATAAAGTCTGGGAAAAAATGAGGAAAATAGTTAAATACAGTAAGTTTAAAAAAAAAAGTTTTTTAACAAGATTTATCATGTTTTACTGGTCCACGCTCTTCCATTACCTTTAGTAACATCTGTCTTGTTTTTCCTTAAAGCTCCAGTGATACTGGATCCAAACACAGCAGCAAGCTGCTTCATCCTCTCCGAGGATCTCACGGTTGTGCAGAACTCGACTCAGATCTTCAAGCTGCCAGACAACCCAGAGCGCTTTGATGTCAGTGCGGAGATGTTTGCTGCCGACGGCTATTCCTCAGGTCTCCGTAGCTGGGATGTGGAGGTCAAAGATAACACTTACTGGGTGATAGGAGTAGCCAGTGATTCCATCAACAGGAAAGGTAAACACGTGCTGACGCCAGCGGAAGGATTCTGGACGATCCGATACCGTAATGGAGAGCACAAAGCCTGTACGGCACCGTGGGAGTCGCTCAACATGTCTCGGAAGCCAGAGGTGATCAGAGTGGTTTTAGACATGGACAACAGGAAAGTGACATTTTGTGACCCAGAACAAAAAAGGACTCTCTACACCTTCAAAGACATCCTCACGCCCACAGTCTTTCCCTACTTCTGCACGGCTTGTAAAGAACATCCTCTGAAAGTCCTACCAACAAGGATCAACTTGTCATTGGACCATTAAATGCCCTCAGAGACAGAGATCCCTATGTTCTGCTTGATATCTAAATATAGTGAAAGGTAGTGAGGTTTTTTTCCCGTCTTTGTGACCGCTGAGAGGAGGAATGCGTGGTCAAATTACGACCGCAAATTGGCAATGACGTTTTAATGAACGACATGACAGAAACACATTTTAAATATTTAATTTGAGTTACAACCAAACAATTGTACTCTAGAGGTTCTGGGATTGTAAATCAAACATTCTAATATCTATATATTATTCCACAGATTCATTTGTTACATAAAATAATTATTTGTGACTCAGCTTAGCACGACACGGGGTCGCACCAGTGACATCTGCATTTATTTCAGCCACTTCCCATAAAAAGTGTTAAAATATTAAAACAGATGGGCTTTAATAAAAGGCACAGACAGTTATAGTGTGCGCATTTGAAAACCCGATGAAAACTTTGTTCAGATGTTCAAACCCATCAAGTTAGATTAGTTTTCCAATGCAGTAAAGATCCCTTTGCAAGTGTTTAAAGTTGTATCACTCATCCTCATGCTGAAGTCCAGTCATAACTTCAGGCAAACAAACAGCAGGAACACAATAGAGACATTTAAACCTACACAGGTGTAACCTTGCAGCATACAGTATTTTTAGACGGGTACATACCCTGTAACAAACCATGACATGATGCAATCCTTTCTGTACTAACAGCATTAATGTAACATGTATCCTATACAAAACTGGTTGTGGAAGATATCCACTTTGTGCGGTGATGCTCAAAGATTTTATGAGGTGTTCATTTAGCGAGAAAAAAAGGACATAAAAGGGAGTCAATGCCCTAACAACATGGTCTGGTGTGTTATTTGTACAATGTTATGATACGATCTATTACAGTACTTGGTCAGTGTTAGTTGTCCCTTCAGCTCTGTTTCCTGAACAGAATAATTCCAGATGAGAATGACAGATGCAGAAGCTGCTATAAGCACTCCTGTCTTTTCCTCTACAGCACCTGTTAAACTGAGGCACTCTGACGGCCCAACAATAGCCCTACATATCATAGAGACATTCTTCCTTCCACTATGGCGTTGTAGAGCTCCTCGTCTACCACCTCGTATCTTGCAGCCTTACTGTTCAAAAAGTAGAAATGGTCGGTTGTGACGCGTGGATCAAATCCCTGCTTCTGCAGCCTGGTTTTCTGGATTTTAAATGTACCTACAGAGAAATATCAAGACAGATAAAAGTACATTTGAAATCAATTTGAATGAAATCTTAGCAACTGTTGATCTTCTTTAACTGGGGTGGGGTACTGGGCCTGTTTACCTGTTGTGTCAACCTGGGGGGAGATTCTGAGGAACACAGGCCGGGCATAAGGGGGAAGTGCTCGTTGGACGTTCTGCAAGAAACTGTTGCAGTCAAAACTTCCCGTTGTATCTGCAATGGCAGCCATGCCTGCTTTACCTTCCACACCTGGAACAAAATATGGGGATACATTTAAGCATTTAAAGAAACCAGTGTCTCCAGTGTTAGGTATAAAAAGGACCATCACCTGGCACTGCCACTCCGTACACAGCCACATCAGTTTGATCCAGGAGATTGCTGAGTATGCCTTCCACCTCAGTCGTAGAGACATTTTCCCCTCGCCAGCGGAAGGTGTCCCCACTACGGTCACGGAAGTACATGTAGCCCAGTTCATCCATCACCAGTACGTCACCTTTTAGTAAACAGATGTTTTAGCTGCCGGCTTTGGGCCAAAAGGAAGACTTTTGCAATTCACTGCCGCCTTTTCTCTTTAGTTTCGGTCTCAATTTCCATTTTTCTTAAAAAATTAATGAGGTAGAACATAAAGCTGGAACCTTTACTGAAGGAACATAAAATGTGGATTCTGAGGTGAGGGATCTGTAACCTGATAAATATGCAGAATCGTTTTTCTTGAACACATTGTGAGCTATCTTCTTCTTCGTAGCATCCTGGTTAGCGTATCCATCAAAACGCCGTAATGGGTCTTTCTGGTTAATACGCCCTACCAGAATGCCCGGCTCTCCTGAAAATTAGAGTATAACTGTGAGCTTTTGAAAGAGGGACATTTCACATGACAGAGTAACGGTTCACATAAACTTAGTCATAATGACAATAAAGATGCGCCTTACCGGGGCGGCAAGAAATGCACAGGCCCTGGCTGTCTCGAACAAGTTCCATAGTTTCCTCATTTACCCTCACCAGACGGATGGGGTACACGTTTGGAAGAATGCGACTGTTGAAACCACAAGCTCCAACCTGGCCAAGGCAAAGCAGTTAAAACTCTGATCAAATCAACATATCAAGTGAAGATAAAAGCAGCACAGGGATTTCTAACCTTGCCATCCATGTTGGCAATGCTACAGTTGCACTCAGTTGCTCCATAAAACTCGCCAATCTGGGCCACCCCAAAGCGCTCTGTGAAGGCTTCCCACACACTGGGGCGCAATCCGTTTCCTACTGCCAGACGCACTTTGTGGCACTTCTCAGATGGTCGGACCGGCTGTGAGAGGAGGTAGCGGCATATTTCCCCGATATACTGCACCACCTGTAAGTGAAGAGAGAAAATTATTATTGCTTAAAAATTTTATTCACATGCAAGTCACCAATATCCTCAAGTAGGACATTTACGAGTATTTCCCGAGCTTAATTCTTACAGTACAATTGTATTTAATGCAGTCGTCCCAGAAACGGCTTGCAGAGAATTTCCTCTTCACTACCACAGTGAGACCATGGATCAGACACTGACCAACTCCAATAATGTTACCTGTCACAAGAGAAAGTTTGTAAATGTTAATAAATCCAACTTGAGGAGGTACAATTGTACTCATAAAAAGAAGGAGATGAGAATACGCATACCTGCTGAGTGATACAGGGGCAGGCAGTCATACATAACGTCATCATTCCGCATGCGGAAGGCAAAAAACCCAAAAGCAGCAATTCTGTAGTAGCTGTGGTGACAAACCGATGAAATATTTGTCATGATCTGTGCAGACACCGTAGCAATTCAGGAGAAGCCTTTTTGTTAGCGTTTGTTCAAGAAGACATACCGACTGTGGACCACAATAGCTGCCTTAGGTAGTCCTGTGGTCCCAGAGGTGTAAATATAAAATAAGCGGTCTGCAGACGACAAAACATTATCACAATCACACTGTTATATTAAGATGCCTGTCATCATAAATATCAAATATCATCATAAAAATATCCAATACAAAGTTATGTCTATAGACATGTCTAAGAGTTTTCCCACTGCTCTGCTATGTAACTGATTATCCATACAGAAGGCATCTCTTTATGCCGTTCAGATCCATCCTGAATGCTTGCTGAATAAGCTGTTACCAGCCACTGAGGTAATCTGGTATTATCTTTAATTACTAAGGTATAAGAGCTCAGGGAACATACTAACCATTCATGTTTTTGGGGGGAACACACGGCGGAGGTGCGTGTCGAGATGCAGTGGCTAAAATTGGGTCCAGGGGCTGAGCACTCAGGGAGGCCAACTGATCTGCACTGAGGTCTCCCGTGCAAAACCGTATCATGGACTGGCTGATGGCAGAATTAACCTCCAGCATTGCTGACCATTCGGACAGACGGACGAGAGGCGAGTGGAAAGAGGACAGCAGACAGATAGTTAATACCTGGACAGTGCTTTTGTTACAATCTAACAACCTGCCTTTTTCCCAGAGTGCTGAGGAAAGGAAATCATTGTATCCAATTTAACCAAAACAAACTGCCCCCTTTTATCAGTTGTTTTAGCAGAAGAATGTATCTCCCTATTGGTCATCTATACATTGTTTTACACATTCTCACCATCAGCAAGCTCAGCTCCAAACACTATTGCCCGTGACCCAGACACCCTAATGCAGTGCATCAGGGGATCGTTGCGGAGGCTGAAGTTGATGAGCGCTGCTTCCACCCCAACTTTTGCAAAACCGAGCCAAAGGGCCACCTGTAACGGCCTGCTTTCCAAGAAGAGGGCCACCACATCCCCAGAGACCCATCCTTGAGCTTTCGCCCAATGAGCAACGGCATTAGAGATCTCATCTAGTTGGGTGAAGGTCCATGTTTCTCCTGTGGCCTCATAGATCAGTGCCGGTTTATTTGGGTGGAGTTTTACCGTCTGGGCGAAAATGGAAGGGATATTGCTTCCACTGCGCATGTAACGCCACAGGGCCATCTTCACTCTCAACAGCACGTACAGGCCGCTGAGAAGCACGAGAAAAGAGGAGACAAAGACACCTCAGTATACAAAGATCCAGACACACAACAATCCCATCTTTGGTTGGACTTACTTGAGGTCTCTTTTGGCAGTTCGTGCTGCAATGTAGAAGTATTTCCAGCTTCTGGTGCCCAGATACACCCCAAGGCCTGCTGCCAGGGTCCAGGACCAGGACACCCCAACGAGACGCAACAATCCCACGGACCCAAGAGAGGCTGATACAGACGCTGCATTGTGCATTCTTGTCACGGAGTAAATGAAGAAAAGAAGGGCTATTACACACTAACGGGGCTTAAACTGAAGCCTACACAGGGTGCACACACACGGGGGAAGTAGCCCACCGTAGAACAGGCTGGTACACGCAGGCACGCACAGGAAAGTTTTATTTCCTTTTCTTTTTTTTTTCTTTGGGTAACTCAAAATAGCACAGAGTAACGGGCTTTTAAATCAGCACTATAGGATGAACGGGGAATCGTGTTCATCTGTAAATTGTGATCACAATCGGATGCCACGCCTGGTCACACACACACACACACACACACGCGCGCGCACACATACTATCACAGACGATTACTTTTTGCATTCAACTTACCTACGAGCCAACAGACTGACGTGCTGTCACCTTTCACCCAATAACCCCGCCACTCGACAAAACTTGTTACTTTTTTTTTTTGCTTAAGTGAAGGCTAAAAAGCAGCCGAGTAGTCCTCCGCAGGAAAAAGTGCCGAAAGTGTCTACTATGTTGCAAATTCGGGGAAACGAAGAGTTTCTGAGTTACAGCAGTTTGACTGCTACTAGCGCTGTTAGCTGTTGTAGTGAGGACCTCACTTCCTTAAAATTGAATAAGGAAATATTAGTTATGCCGGCACCTACGGGGATTACATGCGCCTGAGAGGAGAAGTGGAAAAAAAAGTCGAATAACAACAGTGAGATGCGGAGTGAAGGAGACTATTTTTTGTACTCCATATTGGAGAGAGCCACTGCCATGAAAGCACCGCCTACCATGGCTGGAAACCTCCTGTAGCGGTTCAGCTATTGGTCGAATCCAGAGCTTATCAAGCTTTTCTAAACGTTGATTGGACAAAATTGACCCAAACGAATTTACAACGATTCCGATTTGTAGATGGCTGCTGCTGAAGCTAGAACAAAACTGCAACGCCACCGGCACCGACCACTAACTATATTTGCTGGAGCGTAGTTTAAGTGATGGATAAGTGATGGAATAAACTCCATCACTTATTCATATCCTGTTATGAAGGCTCATGGCATATAAAATATAGACTTCTCCAGCTCTAAATAACCCAAAAAACCCTATCTAAAATTATATGAATAAATATCACGATAAAAAAAGATAAAGGTTAAAAAACAAGAAAGAAAATTAAATCTGTCCAAAATATTGAAAAATTAAGGAAAGACTGTAACTGCCGTCCGGGTTGCTCTTCGAGTAACAGAAGTGGAGCTGTTTGCTGTCACTGTGGATCTCTCAGCGTAAGAACGGCAGCAAAGTTTTGACAGCACTGTTCTTCTGAATAAAATGTAAACCCAAGGGTCTAAGATCTGGTTCCAGGAGGCCATGCGCAAGCCCAGAAGAATGAAAGATGTTGGATCTGCTGCGTTTGGATTTAGCTGCACCATGAGAATGTGGATCTGTAACGATGGAGAAACAGATGTCACTGACAGGGTTTACCTGCTACTTTACTGTTGACTAATTATATAGAATTCAAGGTATACAAATACATATGACCACTTCTATTTCTGCAAAAAGAGATGTTGTCGAATCAAAAGAGAAATACGCACAAGAAAGGGGCCCCAACAGACCGCGGACACCACAGTGATCGCTGCTAGTTGCAACATCATCTCCACATCCAGAGAGAGTAACAAGGAGGAAACAGATGATGCAGATGATACACGGCGAATAAAGTGAGCTGTGGGCTTGGTAATACTGTTGTTCGACTTCACTCTGGCTTGCAGTAATTTCAGAGCACTCAGTATGTTGCAGAGTAGGGAAAGAGCAAGTGCAGCAAGGCCCAGGCACGAGAAGGTAAGAACCAAATTTGTGTCAGCTGTAGATTTTGGTTCATAAATTGTCAGAAAACACCATGTGCATGGATATTGCCTTGTGTAGTGTCCCACCTTAAATAAAGGTAAGGCAGCCAGCACAAGCGCGAGAGTAAAAAAAAAAAGGACACCCCCCTTCACATAAGCCACTGTAATCATGGAAACATGGAGAAAAGGTCGGGTGATTGCCACAAAGCGCTCTATTGCCATAATGCAACCCAACAGCAAAGGGCATAGGCCAAAAAACACCATACTTGCTCCAAAGATGTCACAGAATGCATCGCTGGGTTTTCCATATGTCTGATAAAATGCAAAGGCACCTAGGATCACATGACCTCCAAGGTCAACCAAAAGTAAAGTCACTGTTAGTCGCAGAAACGTCGCTTTGGACTGTCGTCGGAATTTGCCACGAGAATTAAACAGGATCCCCAGAGCAATAAGGTTGGAGGTGGTGCCAAGGATCATAGTGAAGCAGGCCATCCATAAATGGTTGCGAGGTTTGGTGGTATTGTTCAGTGAGCACTGATAGGAGCTGTTTATCCTCGGGTTCTGAGGAGGGTTGGATGGTGATGAAGTAGGAAATGACGCCATTATCAACAAAGTTCTCTCGATCTTCAGGTTGATCTACAATAAAGTAGAGGTTTGAATATGTGCATTAGTTCAGATCTATTGAGGGATCATTTTTCAGTAATGCTGTTGCCATGCCTGTTCTGCTTACTAAAAGATTTCTCAAGTAAATACAAATAGTAAGACAGGTCATAGCAAAGCCGTGTGTTTGTGATTTCCATCATACATGTGGGTAGCTCAGGGGCTAATAACAAGCAGTTTGTCAGTATCACACCTGCGTTTATGGAGCCCTTGCTGCAAGCCATGATAAATACGAACTGATAACATCAAAATGGAGGCTATTTAAATGTTTATAATGCACATAAAAACAGGCTTTGGTGTTTGATAGATATTCATCATTGTATAATCTTGAAAATAAGCATGTTCTAGAAAATTATCTACCAGAAATGGGAAAGGCTCTAAACCAGATTTAAATTCTATCTTTACCATTGTGACACACTCAGAACAAACGATTAAATACTGTCAGCATCACTGTCATTGTAGCTTGGAAACAAACAAAAAACATAAACATGTCTAATGCATTTTCTCTTCCTCAGTATTTTGATGTTGCTTAACACATAAATAATTGCTGTGTGTGTTTGAACAATGTAAAGCTAAATGAAATAATTAATTTATTGAGGAATTCTTCCAGCTTTCACAGCAGTTATATCATCAACTTTCAATGACAAAAATCCCAGTGACTGACGTGTAATTCAGGGGATAATTGCTTTGGGAACTGTCAAACTAGTACATTTAGAATTCCTCAGTGTAGCATGACAAACAAAATGTCTCCAAAACAAGCCGGGACTCAAGAAGGAAAAGGAATTCACATTGCAATCTGGAAATTAACTCCTTTTCCATTACTATACGGCAAAACAATTTTTCCTTTTTAACAGATACACTTTTTAAGCCATTACAGTGTCTGCAGACTGTGACTCCGTTTATTTTTTCTGGTAAATGTGAGTTGTTGTTGATCATATTTTTGTTTATCTTAGAAACAGTTAAAACGTGCTGTGAGTTCTGGTGAAAAATTGAAAGCTTTAAACATGACAAGGGATTATTATGTTAAAAATATACAATCAATGCATATTCATATCTCTTCATCTTCCTACATTTCCCATCCATAATGTAAACATGGACAATTGTACTTTTCTGACCTACAAAAAACAGTTCTTAGCATGTATTTGCCTTTTAGCTGTTATCTTAGCAGAGAAAAATATGCCAATCATGTTATTCATAATCAGTCACCAGTATAAAATTGTGAATAATTTGTAAAACTCACCTCAATGTAGTGTTTGGAATCGTGTGGAAAAAAAAGGAGAAAACAAAAATGTGCGTTTTATCAGCAGGGCTGTTCTGTGCCCCAAATGAAGTTGAAACTATTTCCAGCTATTTCTCAGTACTCTTCCCCTCCCTTAAGTTTTTTCCTCTTGCCTCTCTCACGCTTTCTCAACCCTCTCTCGATCACTACCCTCTGGACCTGCATTTTCCACCTCTTTCCTTGCTGGATCATTTCCATCTATTGATTATTTCTGCGGAACCTTTGCAACAAAATGGATCTGCGTCATCATATTTCAGTTTTTTTGTGTTGATGTGCTGCAAGTGAAATGGCTGTCGGTTATTTAGCTGCAACAACTAGTCAGTTAGCCAAAGCTATATCAACAGTCATCAGAAGAAATAGAAAAAGCAAAGTCCGAAGAATGCCTATGGTTTTACATAAACAGGAAGGAACATGAAAGAATCTCCCATTTCCTCTGTAAGTGTAATTATTTCCCTTTCTATATTAAGGAAAGAAGGCAAAACAAGACAAGGAAAAGACCTTTGAGACAGTTCCACAGAAGCCTTGCATATGATGGACGTTATAATTTTTATTTGGATAAGAAACTGTAAAACAATTCACACGTGAACTCCTGATATTTGAAACCATTTTTAAAAAACAAAAACAAAAACACATAGTATTTTGAAATGATATATGAAATAGCTTTTATGTTTAATCTTCATGCCCAGATATATATACACAGATGTAAGTAATAATTGTTTTTATATTTTGGTTAATTTTCAACTATCAACAACTTGATGACTGTGGTGAATGGAAAGTGCTTGCATAATAAATATCATTTGGAGTGCTCTGTTTGGTTACATCAAGTACCTGAACACAATAAGCATTGTTAAATGTACCTGATCTTACAGGTTTCCAAACTATCATGATAATTTTGGTTCAAA